TCTGTCCCATATCAATGAGCATATGCTCAGAATGTTGGTGACCTGAGACACGCACTTATTTTCCTCTGTACGTTCATATCATACAGACATTCTCTCTCTCTGCTTTGTGTGCAGCTTGTACTGTGAACGTATCATTAATCTCACTGTGAGGAGAGTAATTCTTACACTTCTGGTTGTGAGCCTAGCCTTTAACAGCTGAGCCATCTCTCCAGGCCAGGATGTAATTCTTATTAGAGTTTTGCGAGAGGGTCTCCTGTGGCCTAGGCTGGCTTCAAACTCACTAAGTAGCTCCTGATCTTCTTGATGCCAAGTGCTGGGAGTACAGACATATGTCACAACACCCAGCAATTCTTATACTTTAAAGGTATGGCTGCATGAAGACACAAGTGGAAAATTCCACATTTGAGGTTATATGACAAGACACTGTCAAAGAACAAGTTTGAGAATGTTGTAAAAGTGATCTTCAGGCAATTTGCATAACATGTAGATGAAACAAATGACTTTTGTGTTTAGATGTAGGTCTATCCCCAGTGTAAAAGTAACTTTATTTTGCTGATTACCATCTCAGAGGCTTACTGCCTCCATCTGCTAACCTAGGCCTAGTTCTGGAAGCATCTAGACTCCATACAATCTAATCTAGGCCTAGAATGCTTTCAGTTTCTTCCTGCTGTAGTTTCAGGTGACTGTTCTTCAGGCAAGCAATCTCTAATGTCTCTTTGTATGAGGTAACTAGTCCCATTAGATTAAAGCCCCACTCTATTCACCTCAACTATCTTTATTTGCTTTAAAGTCTTTATTTTTAAATATAATAAGCCACATTATGGATTTGGAGTGTTAGGGGGACACAAATCAATATAAAACATTGTAATGCAAAAGTATCCTTTATTTGCTTGTCTAATTGTCATCTTGGAGGCTTACTGCCTCTGTCTGCTAACTAATGCCTAATCCTGGAAGCTTCTAGCATCCATACAATCTAATGGAGGGCTAGAATGTTTTCAGCCTTTCAGATTTACTGTTAAATAAGCTTATCCTTTCTAGCTTCTTCTAAACTCTGGCTGGCTGTTTCAACTCAGCTGTTCTGGCTCAAATTCCCTCTGAGATGACTGATTCAAGCTGGCTTCTCTCAACTTCTGATTGAATTGCCATGCTTGGCCTCAAACTAACTCTAACAATCTGTTCTATTCTTCTGACTCCTCCTTCTCTGGCTCGTTCTGTCTTATCTGTGTCTAGCTTGTTCTCTCTTCAACCTTTCTGTAAAACTCTCCCAGTAAAAACTGCCTTTGAATTCCACAAACTGAACTGCCATGAACTCAAGTTCTGCCTCTCAGCTCACTGACTCAACTGACCTGACCAGAACACAGATCTGCATGCCTCTGTCTCCTGAGTGCTGGGATTAAAGGCATGTACCACCACGCCTAGACCTTAATTTTTCTTAACCTGAAACTTGCGCTATACCAGGCTGGCCTTGAGCCTCAGTCTCCTTGGATTATAGGTGTGTTTGTATTCCAGCCAGATCACATAGACCTAGAGGGTCTTTGGATGTAAACTCTTGTCAGAGTAGCCATATTCTGAACTAAAACTCCTCTATACCCCTGGGCATCTCATTATGTACATACAAATCTTTTAAGATCCGAAAAAAATTAGATACATGTCTAGTCCTAAGTTTTTTTGGATAATGGAGATAAAACTGCTAAAGATCTGTATGTACACAGAATACAGCAACTGAATATAAACTAATTTTTTCATTTGTGACTATATTAAACAATGAGCAATTTAGTCTAATAAAAAGTAAAAATAAACTCTTTGATTCATTGAGCTAATATTGCTATATATAATATTTGGTGCAATATCAGGAATTTTCAAATGTAATTTAATATCTTGAAAAAAAACCATTATACTTTATTTAAAATTAAAGTAACTAGTAAAAGCCCATAAAATTAAAAACAAGCAAGTTTCATAAATGCCCAATGATGTGTAAATAATTTAATGTTGTGGTCTTAGGGACAAAGTCAGGCAATGAGAAAATAGTTACTGAATTTTGACTGCTGAAAACACATGGGCTTAAGCTACTATTTCTTTTCCTGTTGGAAAGGTTTGTTTATTTTTGCAGCTTTCGTTGCATGTATACGTAATTCCCAACTCCCTCTCTCTCAGACATTCTCTCTTCCCCCTGCATTGTTTTGGGATGGAACTCTGGAACTTAGGCTTGGCACATGTACTTTCCTATCTAACTACCTTCTGGGTTCCAACTAGCCACTTCACCTGACCTTCACACTTCTGTGTCCATCTGACTCCTGTATATCTATCAATATGTGGATGTCCTAGCAGAAGGCAAACCAAACAGATTGAATTGCAAACCCAAAACTAAATGTTTCACGTCTGTGTCCTCAGACTCTTTGACCCTCCTTTCTGTACCCAGCTCTACCGTTTGTGAGCCTGATCACTGCTGTTCTGTCCAAGTGGCATTGTCATTATTTATACCACACAGGCACATGACTTTTCCATGCCCCCCTTCTCCACATCCAACACTTCAACTTCCCTTTAAATTAGTTGACATTTCTTTTCCAATAGTAAATAGCTCAGTTGGAACTACTTTTCCTCTAAACCAGACTATAGCAATAACAATAGGCTCTATGCTTTTAACATTGCTTCCTCTAGTTCATTGTGGTCAGGATGAGTGAGGGGGTGTAAGAATGCTTGAAGTAAGTAATGGGTTCCTTTTGTCTTGAGGATAAATTACAAATTCCTTAAAAATGTTTATAAGGACCCACCCAACTTAAGAGTATTCTTTATCTCTCTTAAAAAAAATAACAATCAATAGGTAGTGGTGGTACACACCTTTAATCCTAGCACTTGTGAATCTGAGGCCAGCCTGGTCTACAGGGCTAGTTCTGAGACAGCCAGAGAAACACAAAGAAACCCTGTCTTAAAAAACAAGAAAAAAAAATATCCAAAACCAGGGCAGTAGCTCATCAGTAGAGTGCTTGTCTGATAAGCAGGGCTCCCTCAGTTCAATCATCAGTAATATTGCAAAAACAAACAAAACAAAACAAAACAACAGCCACAAAAATCCACCCCCAAACAAAACCCAACCCAACCCAAACTGAAACAAAGCATAAAACATTTGGGTTTATCAATCATTTTTCAGGGCAGGCTCCATGCTCAGGGATAGTTGCCTAAACCATCTTTTTAAATGTTTTTGGTTTTCATCTTCTCCCCTAAATCTAGGCAAATAGTGACACATGGGTGGGTTTCTTTTCAGTTTTCCTATCATCCATGACCTTGTTCTGGAGCTGAAAATTGCTAAGTAACTATGTGTAAAACCCTGTTGAGGAATGTAAGGCATATTTCAATCACCTTTCTAGTTTAATATGCTTCCAGCTTTTTTCCTTGCTCACAGCACATTAAAGAGCAAACACAGTGAAGAAGTCTATTTCCTACTCCAGCTCCAGGGAGTCTGACATCTTTTTCTGGCCTTTCTGGGTACTGGACTCCCATGAGGAAATTACACTGCTTCTCTACAGTGGAGGTTAGGAAGATCATGTCTGAAGTGCAGGAGATTCTGTGAGGTGTGTCTTGGTGTTCCTTCGTCCTATGTTTAAAGTCAGTGGGTAACTACAGCCCAATGCAGGCAGGATGATAATGGATCAAGACCTTCATGAAGACATGAATCATTCATGTCCTGAAATGACCTGCTGAGGTGCTTGCTGGGGGTGTAAGAAATACAAAATGGGCAGTAGAAATAAATACCAGCTAAGGCCATGTGACCAGTTGCAGGAAGAAAGATTATAATTGACATCAGTGTTTCTGTCATATCTCATTAAGAATGTATTTGTACATATGTAGATAGACATATTAAGCAGATAGTTAGGTTTTCTTTCCTTTTTGTCCTTGTCATGTAATGCTACACCAATTGAGATAATATCAGTGGCTATCATATTTAAGTGGTGAGATATTAAAAGAATGCCCCTCAAGGGACAATGCCACCTATTCCAAACTATATAATGCATTTGCCCTTGTCCGTGGAATAGTTATATTGCATTAGGCATAATTAGGACCTGGTCATTGTTTATATTTATAAATTAAGAATGACATAAGCATATATGATAGTGTGTTATGTTGACAAGGGGTGGACTTCTGATGGCTAATCTTGGTGATCAACTTGATCTTGACACACTGTGAAAGCCTTTTCTTGATTGAATCACTTGAGGTAGGAAGATCTACCCCAAATCTGGAATTATCCCTTTGGTGTCAGCCTACATGAAAGGACACAGAAGAAGAAACTTCTGATTCTCGCCTGCTTGCCCCACTCTCACTGGCAAGTTCATCTACCCTACTGATGAGGTGTTCCTTTGCTGGTATTAGAACATACTTCTCCCAGGTTCTAGAACATGAATCAAAGACTGGCAGAGACACTGGCCTCATGGACCGAACAACCACCAGATTCTTGCTCTTTTTCCATTGTTAGACCAGCTAGACCACAGCCTGTAAGCCAGCCTAATAAACCCCTTCTTAATGTAGATTCATTTTTATCAATTCTGTTCCTTTAGAGAATCCTGACTAAAACACACACACACACACACACACACACACACACACACACACACACTAATAATAATAATAATAATAAATCTTAAAGGTAGGTTTTTTAAATGAAAAGTACAAATTACTAGGTCTCACATACAAAATATGTTAAAAGTTAGGTGGGGTTGCACTACCAGGGATAAAATGTGTCTGAGTCTTTCCAAATGAGACCTCCATGAGTTTTTAACGTAAAAAGCCTGTGCATGATGACTTGGTGGTGCATGTCTGCAATTCAGCACACTTGGGAGGTGGAGACAGAAAGATCAGGACTTCAAGGCCATCCTTGACTATGTATTGAGTTAGAGGCCTATCTGGGAGACCCTGTCTCAGAAACACATAAAATAAATAAATATAAAATAGAAAGATTAAGCTATCTGATAAAGAAGACAAACAGTAACAGACTAAACCTAGGATTTCCCAATGATTTTATTGAGGTAACATTTCCCAGTTTTATACACACATCTATGCATATGCATATACTTATGAAAGCTAAACAATGTTCTAAGGCACTTGGAATTGTGCACAGCGGAGTATTCTATTATCATACTACTAGATGGAGTATAATTTTCCATTTTAAATAACACAAACACCAATATGGAATAAAAAGATAATACATGGTCTTTCAGGTTACAATCGTGGAGGACATACGCTTCGGTGTATCTACTTGCAGGCATCACACCCACCTACTATAATATAGTAAAGGACTACTAACCACCAGAGGAGAAAGTGTCCTGTTCTTGTGAGTACAGTTCCAGTTATTAATACCCACAGACAGCACACCATTTAGTGACTGCATCATGCACTGGAGACTCACAACTGCTGATCACAGTTCACCATCGCTAACCAAAGCTCAAGAGAACAAAAGAACACAGACAGTCCCTTATGGAAAAACCACTGTGACTCAGGAGAGAGAGAGAAAGAGACTAGTTTGAATTTTCAGCAGGTTAAATACTGGTGAAATTTGCACAGGATGCTTTGAATACATTTGCACACATCTAAGCCACAGAAGAAATGCTAAAGAATTAGTGCCTATGGTTTGAGTGATGAAAGTGGTTTGACTCTCAGTTCTTTATAATTCTTTCCAAAAGCTAATTAGTACTACAGTGGCAATTTCTCATGGTAGACACTCTCTAAGCAATGTAACAATACAGTCAAAAATCACATCATGAGCATCCATTAAGGGAAAAGCCCTCCCCCTTCCCAAGCTGGCAAGTGGCACAAATATTACTGGCATTTTAATAAACCACAAAATTGCCCTGAGGGTGGAGTGGCATTCTGCCTCATTTACTCTTTCAATTTATTCTCTTTTTTTTAAAAAAATACTGCTATTAAGAAAGATAAAAAATTTTAAGCACCATCTATATAGATTTACGCTATAATCACCTTTACTGACTCTGAGTTGCTCTGCTCCAAAAAAAAAGTGTCTTTAGAAATTTAATATTAAAATATTGGAGTGGGAGGAATTAATTCCATCCTTGCAGCTAGCTGCAATTCATCTAAGTGTTTCTCAAGATGTATTGACTATTCAGTTTCAGCGGCCTAAACAGTATCTTTCTGTGTGGTTAGCACAGGCTGATTGAGCTGCACCTGGGGAAAACTCATTTTGTTTTTGCCTTATCTGTGGTGTGAACACTATGAATGCAATCTGCCACTTACATTTCTGTCACAATGTCATAGTTGCACATCTTATTAGAGAAGCTGAACTGTATGGATATGTTTGCACAGATGAATCCAAGCATTTTCATGTGGATTAAGTGTGTTGTCAACAGGAGGAAGAGTGAGAGTCTTTTGCAGCTCCATCCACAGGGTTACTGGGTAGAATCTAGTGTTGACTTCCAAAGACCAATGTTTTATTCAAAGCCACTGTGTTCCGACGACCAGCAGTCTAGTTCTGAAGTGACACTGTGAAGTAATGAACAAGAGTTTGCTTCACGTACTCTCTCCAGAAGTATCAGGCCAAGTCACTCTGCCCACTGCCCACTGTAATGGACAAGACCACCTGGGAACCTCTTTCTTACAGGACAGGCCAATTTCAGCTGTATCTAAGTAGAAGGCTTGAAGGAGAAGTGGATCAGAGATATGCAAGGCAAGAGAGATGGTATTTGGGGGTAGGCTCTTTCCCCCACGTGTCCTTGTTGCAGCAGACAGCACTATTCAGCTGAGGGGTCCACCCTTCTATGCAGGTAGATAAATATGTGGGCAGGCTTATTTATTTATTTGTTTGTTTATTTGTTTGTTTGTTTATTTATATATTTTGGTTTTTACAATGTCTGGGAATGATCCTGGTGTTGAGTAGAAGCCTGGGATACTGAACATCTTGCAACATGTGGTACATTTCAGCACAACAAAGAATTGTCCAGATCCAAATGCCAACAGCACCCCACTGGGAAACATCTATCAACAGTTTTTTGTTCACATGCAGCTGTGACAGAAGCAACAAGCTAAATGCCATTTTTCTGCAGTAAAACCCAATATGGCTAGAAATTGGCATTAGTAGAAGTAGCAGCCACAGGGCTTTATTTTCTTTGCCAAAATCCCTGCACTTTATAAAATGAGATTTGTTAATTTGGGATGAAGCTGGCCTCAAAAAACAAACATAGAAAACACAAAACAAAATACCATCATAAAAAAAGGTTGGTCTCTATTACAGTTGCTCTCTAGAAATGTTTTGAAAGAGGGTTGTAGGCTTAACAATTAGAAAAAGTAAATAGAAAGCAAAAATGAGAATGATTTTGGATTTTCTACCTTCATCTCCATCACCCTTTGGTCCCTGCCTGGCTTTGAAGTGGAACCTAGAGCCCCTCTTTGGAACATGAGTCTGAGCTGCCTAGGAATGCTCTTTCTCTCAGGAAGCTGTTCCCATTAATGTGACAATTGCTTATTCTTGTCACTGTTGTCCCCTCTAGCACATATCGTCTAAAGGTTCATTCTGCTTTGTTAAACAAAACATATCACCAGTAAGTAGACAGCAAACACTAACAAAAGATTAATCATTTTAAGGGGTGAAGGGACAATTTGTATTCTCTAAGGAATAACGATCTCCAAGTACAGCTTCTTGTACTAGTAAAGTGGATAAGTGGGGATTTAGGAATGCATAAACAAATTCACCATACCAAGTAAAATGACATGAATCCATACATCCACAAACTTAAGTCTGTTTCACATACACTAAAGAAAGCTTATTTCTTTAAAATATGCTGCTAGGATCCTGCACAAATAGCACAGAGTGGACTTTTTGAGCGAGATAGAAACCCTTATTTTACTGTCCAGATGCAGACATACTGCTCTGTGGTAGACGATCCTCTTTCTATTGAACCGACAGCTTAATCATCACAGGTCTTGTCTATCATGTGTTGCTGTCAGGTCTACCTGGACATATGGTGTTAACCCACATCTCCTGTCTTAAGGACAAATTACTGTATTTTTTGAAAAAGGGCCAATTCACTATGGAATTGATTATAGGTACAAAGCCTGGCAGTTTCTAAGGGCTCACAATTCATTTTCATTATTTGGTGACTTTTTTTATAATTGTTTTTATTTTATGTTAATTAGAGGTTTGACTGCATGTATGTCTGTGTGAGGATGACAGATGTAAGTGCTGGGAATTGAACCAGGGTCCTCTGGAAGAGCAGTCAGTGGTCTTTTTAAAATTATCTTTATTTGGTGATTTTGAAGAGCCAAAATATTAGTCTTTTATTTCCTTCAATATATTCTCAATTAAATTTCAGAACTTTCTTCTCACACCAGAGACATATGACTGACTGCCTTCATTTGGCTAATAAAGATGGGGGGGAAAAAAAAAAACAAACAACAAACCAAAAACCAGAAAGGCAGCATTTCTGGGTAAGTCAGAGAGATTGATATGTTTGCCTTTCCTTTAATTAATAGCTGCTCAAATACCCAGGATGGTGCTCTGCATATTGTAGACTTTGATTAAATGATTTAAGGAATAAACATAAACGTTCATCATAGCAACACAAAACCACAAGACATTTCACACGTATAGGAAAGCACCAGTCAAGGTGCCCCAAGTGAATTCAGATTAGAAGAGTGCTTTTGTCATGTTGGTTGTTAGTGATCATGAGGCTGCTTAATGACGGACTTAGTGTCTTCTCATTACCTTAATAGCAACAGGGGTTTCCTCCTCCATCAAAAACCAGGATGGAAATGGCCACTTGGGCTTTGCTATTTGATCTAGTCCTTTCTTCCTGAGTCTTCATCATATCTTGGGAGTCAGGAAAACCCACTCAGTTGCTCTATGGGCCTAATAGTGTGCTTTAATAAAAAACTGGAATTGTGGGAAAACTGCAACAAAAATAACTCCAATTTCTACACACATTTGCTTTCTTACAGAACAGCAGCTTGCTTGTTGGGATGCAGATAGGCTGGCAGTCGGCAGAGGCCTAATTGTGGGGAGAGGGAGCCATGCCCTTGCTTTCTGTGGGGCCTAACTGGAGGCCTGTGGGTGGGCTGGTGCTGAGCTATACAGCCTTTCAACTTTTCTGCCTTTAAAAATTAACCGGGAAAACAGAGCCTTATCTGAGAACTACTGTTGGCTCATAATATTTTAATTCTTTCCATGGCTTTTAAAAATGTTTAATAGATCATTATAATGAGGTAACCAGTGTTTCAATTATTTAAATATTAGATTACTGGTAGTTAATTTTTAGCTTTTTAAATGTCTCTCTTACAAATGTTTCCTCCAAATGTATCAATTGGTATGAAGAGGTATATGTATCGTAAATCTGGCAGATGGTACCAGGGAGACAAGTTTCCATTTGTGCAGTGCAGGGGTGTTGACTGGGGGCAGCTTCAGTATGCAAAGCATTTTGTGTTTTGTTTTGTAATGGGTGAATATCATTGTGGAAAGAATTGTATAGTGGGGAAAAAGGTTGGCTTTTTTTGTTTGTTTGTTTTTTGAGACAGGGTTTCTCTGTGTAGTCCTGGACTTACTTTGTAGACCAGGCTGGCCTCAAATTCAGAGAGATCCTTCAGCTTCTGCCTTCCTAAGTGCTGGGATTACAGGTGCGTGCCACTGCGCCCGGCTCAAAAAAGGCTGGCTCTTTTTACCAACCAAATACAAACACACTTTGAATAAACTGGTGCGCCTGCCTTGCATTTACAATGTATGGAGAAGATGCAATTAGAAGTTTTAAAATGTTCTCAGACTATAAGCATGAACAAAGAAACATTATCTGCCTTGGCATTTTTCTCATGACACTAAGATGATCGTAGAGTATCATCAAGAAGGAAAACTTCTTTGCAAAAACAAGAACAAAGTTAATTTCTATGACCGAATTGAGACTCTATTAAACAAACAAAGGCTATGGGTGTAGTTCAGGGGTTAGAGTGTGCAGAGCATGCACAAGGCCTGGTTCATCCCAGCAGTGCAAAACAGCAACAGAATAAACAAGCCCCCAGCCAAAGACGAATACCAGGGCACTCATAGACATTATTTCAAAAGCAAAGTCTGTCTTAAGCCATTAGTGAGACGAACTAGTGTAGACCGCTGCTTTGTTTGATTAATGCAAACAGCTAAGCACAACGAAGGGTATGGTAATGCTGGCTACCTCATGGAATGGTCCTCCTGGCTTTTCGTAATAGACAACTGCAGCTAATCACTGTTTCTTTGAAATGAAATCATCAAATTTCAAGTGGTTCTTTCAAATACCACAGAGTGGCAGGACCTACACTTATTCAACTGATTAAATGCTGATTTTCAGCAGAATAGAAAATTACAGGCTTCCACATTCTGAGGCAGAAACACTTCAGAACTATCATAGTTCCAGATCAAAGAATAAGATAGATGTAATATAGATTCTATCTTTAAGAAAGCGTATGTTTTTAATACAAGGGGCCCAAACCAATTGTTAAGGGATGAAATCCAAGGTAGTATTCACAAGGGAGCCCTCTGGGGCTCTGTGCTGGGGCTGACACCACAGAGAAGAGCAGTGTGAGGGAGGAAGCTTCTTAATGTAAACAATTCTGATTATAGGGTCATGGGAAATGGTCTTCAGCTGTATCTCAGTGCCTCTCTGGCAAGGGGAGTAAATACTGTATGTATGGATGTGACTCAGTGTTCATCATAGAAGATAAAGACCCTTTTATAGAAACCAGCAGATTTCTGTGTTCCTTTAAGCCTTGGGGTATTTTTTCTTAAATCCATGCACTCGGTTTTTATTGTTTTATTTTTTTTAATAGCAGCAACCTAAACTTTTTTTTAAATTAATGCAGTATTCAAAACTACCTATCTTTTCTTTTTTAAAAATCCTTCCTCACAACTTGGAGCAAGCAGCAGACACTTTTGTATGTTGCTTAAGCTGCAACTCTGGATCGAGTTTTCAAAAAGGATGCCATGACTGTCCTGATCATCTTTAGATAATGAACATTTTCCCAACTTTGGAGATAATTAAGACAGGGTAAGATTAGAAGATCTAACTCTAAAGCTTGCAACAGGTTTACAGGGTCACGTTATAGCTGACCTTATTTCTGTTCCCATGTAGAGGGTTCATACATTAGGAAAACAGTATAAGAAAACGTCATGTGTTACTTAAAGCATGCAACACAATGCCAGCAAGCATGCTTGGGAAGAGTTAGTTGAAGCTTCTTGCATTTGACAAACACTCAGATTTGTTTCTGGCAACTGGGTTCACTGGCACAATATTAAAAAAAAAAATGGAACTACACAGAACCAACTTATCGTCAAACAAGAATATTCTAGAATCGTCTTTAAGGAGTCCGCATTGGGTGAGTAGGTTCCCAAATCCCTTAGCGAGTTCTCAGCTACCAAATGCCTACTTCAAAAATATACTTATATTCATTCTTCTTTTCTTCATTAACATAATGATCTTCTTCATTAACATAATAATTCCTATTTTTAGCTCCCACCCTGTTAGGGTGACCACCAGCTATTCCAATGCCTATTGTTTGTGAATGCACACGCACTATACCATTTGGCTTTCTGGCGATTGTCTTCTGCTTGTCTTCTTTGATTAAAATTCCTGATGAAGAACAGTGGCGAAAACCAGGGTGCCCCCTATATCATCGCACATTCTGGGCAGCCAGGCTTGCTGCATCTGGCTCTCAGCTTGTTGGCCTGGTCTGGGCTATGAAGGCAAGAAACACTCCTAACCAAACCCAAGTTGCACACTTTCACAATGAAATGGAAACAGACACATTCAAATCTCAGTGCAATGTCAGGGTCTCAGGAAGCAGGGCTTCTGCCAGGGATGATCAGTGTATAGTTCTGAGCAGTCCCACACTTCATTATGGACGATGAAACCTGGAGTAAGAAACAGAAACTGTGAGTCTCTGGATGGAAGTGTATTCCACATTTGATGAAGTGAGGAAGATGCAGAAAGCCATTCTGAATATCACCCTCCCTGTTACTGTAAAATTGTTGCTGTAACAGAACACTGTTGTGTGTGCTATATAGGAAAGTAGACACGATTCTTATAAAAAAAGATCTTGGTAGTATTCAGGCTCATAGAATAATCAAGACAAACCTCTAGTGTGATCTACAGCCATATTCTAACCCACATTAAGCAAAGTGAGATGTGTCTTAAGTGAATTTGGTTATACCTAGCCCGTAGATATGAAAGGCAAACACAACAATCATCATTTTATTAGATTAATGACAGGCATGGTGGTACACAGCTGTAATCCTGTTGCTTGATCGGTAGAGATAGGGCAATGGAAAGTTCAAAGTCATCTTAGGCTACATGAGGCATTCCAGGGTGACCTGGTCTACATGAGTGAGATGCTGTCTTTAAAACAAACAAACAAACAAACAAACAGAAATGATAAAACAAACACCCCACCCCAGCGAGGGCATTGTTGTCAGTGTCTCACCAGCTCCTACTAGTGACTTTAAACTGACTTTCCCCACTTGGATTTACTTTTTTAATTATAATTTTTATTGATTTTTATGTGTGAGCGCTTTGTCTGTATATGTGTCTGTGCCAAGTATGTGGGACTGAGCTGGGAAAAATTGTGCACGGCTGAGGCATGGGTATCGCATGTAACACATCAAGGAAATCGCTCTGTTCCTCAAATATAGATCATGGTCAAAGGGTGTCACACATGGTCAGTGGTGGAGTTAAGAACTGAGCTCCAAGTGCATACATTTCTGCTTTAGCTTCAGCCCATTCACTGGTTTGGGAAAGCTCCATGTCTCCTTGTCTCTCACAGCATCCTGCTGCATGTTCTCCACAGCACTTGAGATGACTGCCAGGTCTTTTACTGTTAATGATTTGTCTCTCTCATCAGATGACATCAGAGACCAGGACTTTATATGCACTAAGTTTCCAGAGTCCAGAACTGGCAAACCCACTCTGTGTACTTAATCAGCACTTGCTGAAAGCACAAACAACCGAATACACAGTAAAAAGCATTTAGGAAATGATGTGATAACTCTACAAACAATTTTATATAGCTGGACAGTTCACCCTTAAGAGTCCCAAATTTATTTTCCTAGTATATTTACTACTTAAATATACTACTATATGATAACTCAGCTAGTAGAACCTTCCAGAATGCCACTGAGGAAGGGCCAATAACAACCTGAAAAAAATCATTTGTCTAAGGCAGAGAAGAGGAAGTAGAGGTGCTGGCTCTACAGTCTATAATTTTACCTATATTATGATCAATATAAGTCTTCAACTGAGCTTTCATTCAAAGAGAGGCTTCTGTTATCTTCTTGTGACTATCCTGGCAGGAAAGGAGATATTTTAAAGAGAGACGTCTGTGCTATCAGACTACTGAAACAATAAGCTGCAGGGACTTATAATTGCCTAGGAATCCCATGCTGGGTAAGGGCAAGGCTGAACTCTGGTTCCATCCAGAAGCTTGCCTGCCAGGGAGAGATTCCACGCACTTTTGTCCTACTTATCAGATTACCTTCGAGGACAGACCTGGGCCAAGATAGTGATGGGTAGACTCATGGTGTTGAGCATACCTAAGGCCTGACCTCCATCTCTAGCTGAGCTATGACAGTTACCAAAGCTATCTCACATGCATCTAGGAGAGCAGACATAAATGGGTATTCTTAAGCTTTTCCCAGCGAAAAAAGCAGCTGGTCCAGCTGCCCCACCTCCATTGGTGCAGCACACCTGTGCTGGCTGCATCTAGGAAACAGAGCCCAGGATAGCTCAGGGAGAGCCAAACAGCTGGAATTCACTTTCTACCCAGACTTTTGAGCAAATGGTGTATACAGGAGGGTGTGGAGGGAATTTTAAGAGTTTTCTTGCTGGTTTGGAGAAACTAAAACTGGGGTTCTTTCCAGAACAGCTCAGTGTGGTGCACACCTGTAATCCTAGCACTCAGGGAAGTAGAGGGAGGCCAGTCGCTAGGAGTTTAAGGCCATCCTGGTCCACAAAGTGAGCCCAGGACAGCCATGGCTGCACAGAGAAACCCTGTCTCAAAAAAACAAAAACAAAACAAAAACACACATAAAAAAGTTGAAAGTGAATTCCATTGGGTTGAACTGTGACATGACACCAGGTCCTTGGACTGGCTGGGGAAGGTGTGGCTGGCTAGCACTGTGGCTTCGGCCTCTCTTATAGACTCCACAAGCTCTGGTAAAACAAACACAAACTACAGTATCCAAGTCAGTCAAAGATGTTTATACCCTGCAAAATTAGGAAAAATTAGGCTTTCTCTATTCAAGTTTGGCTGTGGAATTTTATGGTGAAAGGAACAGCAAATGTAGTTTTTCCTGAGTGTTTAGCTTTATTTCCCAAGAACTTCACCTATTTGATAGAATGACAGTTTTGGCTGTAGGCATCAAGTCAGTGAAACAATAAACAGACTCACTCTGCCCTAAGGACACAAGCTTGTCCTCCATCCTCTGTTTAAGATGTGTCTGATTATGAAATTATTGACATTTTCTTTTTTTTTTAAAAAGCGAGAATGCATAATTTTTAGTTTCCTATTATGAGAGGGATTGAAACAGGACTGTTTCTTATAGTCATGGAATTGAAAGAAGAATATTTATTTACCAAAGGAAGTTCTTCCCAAACTCCATTCCTAAAAGCTTACTCTACTATCTGAATGAACTCATTCAGAGAGTAGAAAAATAAGACTGCTCACACATGCGAAATATTCTGTCTGTGTGCTTAAATGTTGGATACATATTAAGATGTTGGATACAGGGGACTGGAGAGATGGCTCTGAGGTTAAGAGTACTGGCTGTTCTTCCAAAGGTCCTGAGTTCAGTTCCCAGCAACCACATGGTGGCTCACAACCATCTATAATGAGATCTGGTGCCCTCTTCTGGTGTGCAGGTGTACATACCTTGGGAGTGGGGGGGGGGCGGAGGCAGAACACTGTATACATTAAAAAAAAAAAAGATGTTGGATACATATTAAGATCTTAGGTAATTAATCCTCCTTCAGTTATTTATGCTTTCTGGGTTTGGAGCTTAAGCTCAGGATCCCGTGCAGGAGAGGCGAGAACACTATCACACAGCTGTGACCCCACCATCAAGCCCTTTTTCCTTACAGGGGTCTCACTGCTGTGCTACACAGAACTGTGTTAAATGAAGATCCTCTCCTAAGCCACCGTTGCCTGTCTCCTGGGGCACTGCAGCCATGCTGCCTGTGCTCCTCTTATTCCCAATGCTGAGGCAGACTTGCAGTATTTACAACTCTCTCAACGTCTCTGTCCAGGTACAAGACAATGGATTACCAAAGGGAAATGCCAGGCTCCAGCTCCTCTTCTGTGCTATAGTCTCTGCAGCGCCACACTTTGAAAGGCCATGCCCACCTAGGAGCTGAAAGAGTGGCTTCTTTTCTATGATCCAAGCACATGCCTCCAAACAAAATACAATATGCAGTGTGGAAATACATGAAAAGCATTTTAGAAGTTTAGAAAAGAAAAAGTACTCGATAACTATAATAGACTATTAAGACCTTTTGATCTCATTTTCAGTGTTTTTTTTTTTCCCCTAGACACTTGAATTTTAAATATACCACTGTACCATAGGCAGTCAGGCAATATACTGTTTGTCTACTGGTTGTGGTACAAAAAAAAAAATCTCTTGAGAGCTGTTTTGACTTTAAAAGCTTCACTTCAATGACCCATGAGAGTATGATAATACTCCTTATTTAATAAGCAAATATTTCAGACAAGTAAGATTATTTATATCTGAAGTTACTCTGTACTCTAAAATGTTAGTGTGCAAAAGTAAATTTATTTTGTAAAAAGTGACATCCGCTCTTGATTATAAATCTGATATACGTTAACACACCAAAAAAAAAAAAAAAACCCATTAGAAAATGAATACCACCCAGAAGATTCCAGTTACCCAAGCCTTACTACTGTAATCTTTTAAAATTTATTTTTAAGTAAAATATGAATTTTTATGTAATTTGCCACATAATTTAGAGAACTGTTTTCTATTATAGAAATTCCACTTGTCTCTAAAAGGGAAGTGGATTCTGTTTGTCATGGTGGTGTCTTTTGAGAACATAATGACTCTACATAATCAGCACACAGACCACTGTTCAAGCAGGTTCACTTTTGGGTTTCAAGCAGTAGGCTGAGTAGGCAAAAAAGGGGGAGAATACAGACTGCAACCAGAGACTGCAGCTAATATGCCAAGGAATGCAGGTTACAGCTTGGTCTCTTATCAGGCCCCAGGCTAAATTCTTGTCCTCACCCTTGTTGCAAGGTCCTAACCTGGGTTTCAATTCCAAAAAGCTCTCTGTAAAATGCTGGGAGCAACCAGGGATATTACAGATCAACACAATTCATCATAACACACACAACAAAAGACTCTCTGCGATGGAGGCCAAAGAAGTGTCTTCCTGCTGTGCTAAAAGTACTCCTGATATCAGTGCCTGCACGTAATTCAAAATAAATCGCCAGGCTGGAATCCTTATTTATTGAAACAGGGTCTAAGGAGTTGGATTCCTTCAGTGTTTTTTTTAAAATATCTGTTGTTGATTAGACAGGACATTCTCCCGTCTCAAAAATGCAAAGAGTTTGAAAGGGTCAGTGGCACAAAGTCTCCTGTGTCTGCCCCAGCTCCCAGCTCTCTTCCCCAGAGATAAGTGATGTTTGCAAATAACTGGAGACAAAGGAGGCTACAAAGGGACACAATTCTTCCCAGGTTTCCAGAGAGAGGTCTCAATCGCTGTGCCTGAGTCTCTGGATGAACAGGGCACAGAGCTCTCTTCAGTATAACCTACCTTCAATTTGTACAGGCCTCAGAGGTTTAGGATCTGATAGGAAGGCTTACATGATGTGGGAGATAAAGTCTGGCACTAACTAGAAGAAAGAACTGCTGCCACGTGTCTAGGCTGCTTTTAAAGGGATGGGTAATGATTCAGAGTGTTTATGCCCCATGAGGTGGGCGAGTGTTGAGATGCTGCAGTCTTTTACATGAGCAGTTTCCTAAGAGAAATTCATGGCCATATTTTCATATTATTTTGACTAGAGACAGTAGTGTTTATCAAAACTTTTTCCTCTTAAAAGAAACACTGACACCAGGATGAAGATCACAGCATGATTTTTATATCTCCAAAGCCAAAAGTACTTCCCCGCTGGAATGCAACTCTAATGATGTCACATAAATTAATGGAAAAATAGTAGTAGACATTTGCTTTAGTGCCAAGCCTTAAAACTTGAGCAAGGCATGTTTATTTTGCTGTTATAAATATTTAATTTTTCCTTATTGGAATAATAGTTTAAAGAGTGTTGATCAATACATTACAAAAATCTTTTTAAGTTTAGTCCCTCAACATGAGCTGTTGCTACCTCAAAACTTACCTACTCATCATCTATTAGCATCTACTTAAACAATGAAAATATCAGTAAATTATTCAATAAAACACAAGTTCAGCCTGTGTTTCTTCCTAGGAGTAAATAGCCAACAGAATTTTGGAGGTAAGAAAAAAACCTCCAAAAACATCTAACAGAAAACCACAGTACAAGACTAGCTCAAGGGTGTCACTAGCACAAGCAGGGACAGTCAAAGCCCCTTAGCACGTAAGATGGAACCCAGTTTTACATCCAGAGGGCAATAAATGGTAGAGACAATTGAGTAGTGATTTAGAAAATTAAAGTTCACGTATGTTCTTGAATCATACACAGAAAGAAGTGCTGAATGGATTGAAGTTGTAAATGTGAAAAAAGCTAAAAACAATAGTTTAATAGTCTTGGCTGCCTTCCATAAAGCACAGAAAAACAATGAAATTAAAAGTAACAATATAGAAAGATTTTTTTGAGTGTGTAAATATTTATACAAAAGATAGCAAAAAAAAAACCAAAAAACCTAAAAGGCTAATAACCTAATACTGAGGACTAATATCTCAGATTTTACTCATCTATATAAAAAAAACAGGCAAGCCAAAAGAAATTTTACAAATGTTTGGATACAAAAGTCAAACAATTAAAAAAAATAAGGGTCAATAACGCTAAAAGAAAATGTCCAATCCTATGGACATCACTGTTTATCCTGTGGAATGCAAACCTTGGAGTCACTCATTGACCCAGTTGTTGATGAGCGTGACTAAGTGTGCTGTGTACTCATCAGCTGTGGGCCAGTAAACTAAGTGCCCTTTTTGAAAGATATCAGAGAAGAATCTTTGAAGGGTTATAAAACACATGACTCCAGTAAGCTAGTAAACACAGCTAAAAGGGCGGCCACACAAATCCTGGATGTGTACACAGACACAAGCATGAAGTCACGGTCTCAGGGTGACAATGAAAAGCTCTTCAGCATCCAGGAGTACCTGTTCAGTAGTGTCTAGTACCTTCTCTATGGGATGCCCCAGGCATGGAGATGAGTGCCATACTTACAACAGGAAGCACTGCCTTTCCACATGTTGTGTGTGAGTGAGAGAATGTATCTGGGCTGTCTATACATACACATACATTATATATGGATGAGTTTGGAACTGCACAGGAAAAAATGCCTAGAAGTACATACCTCCACCTTTAACTAGCACTTACCTGGGAGAATAAAGATGAGGGTGGGAAAGGAGTAAAGAAGGGGCTTTGTTTTGTTGATAAGCTTTTAAATTGCATCATTGTGCATATAAAAACATAAAAATAAATGCTTCTGACATGTCCCTATGATTAGTTTTAGTGAATTTCCTAAAAGAACGCAACAGAAAGGAGTTCTTTTAAATACATCTCAGAGAATTAGAACTTTTACAAAATGCATGGTTGTTTTTTCTTGCTTATTTTCTGCTGTAATTTATTCTCACTTCATGCTATCAAATGGAAAAAGGTTAACAGATCTTAATGATTTATAGGAAAGCTATGCAGAAGTAAAAGTGACTTGAATGGCTAGGTGGGATGAGTGGAGCTCTGGGGTCAAGACTCAGCCACACAAACACATGCCATTTATTTCCCCAGCCAGTTCTGTGTCACCATAACTATCTTGTCTCCTTTTTATGATCAGTTTTCCTAAACAAGCATAACATCAGGTGTCACGTGTTAATGTGAACTTTTCCAGCTGTAACAGAGAGGGTACCAGTCTGGCATAGTAAAGGGCCAAGAAAGCCTTTTACCATCAGAAAGCCCTCAGGGAGAGAACACTGATACATTCAGGACATATGTTGGCAAACAAACAAGGAAGTAAGAAGAACAATGCTAAGGTGAAGTCTCTGCCACACTAGACCGTCCTACGTGATCAGTGTCTACAGAACACTTCACAGAAGGTAGCTGCTATGAAAAAATGAAGCTTCACCTCCATTCCCTTTGCCTTGTGACAATGTTCCCTAGGTAGAACAGCACCCTGACCTCTAGGAGTCACTGAAGGCTAGGAGCACAGGATTTGGCTGTCCTACTGAGGCTATTTCTAGATCAGGGCACTGCATCAGTGTTTGTGTTTGGAAAGACAGAGAACCTTGTCTTCTTCATGCATCCATTTGTTCTGGGATTTTCAATCATTTAATTCTCTCTCTCTCCTGCTCTCTCTCTTCCCTCTCCCCTCTCTCTGTTTGTCTGTCTGTATGTTTATATGAGTTTGTGCATATGTGTGTGCAAGTATGTAAGCAGATGGGGTTTCTCGCTCAACCTGTATCTCAAGTCTGTATCTCCCTGTGCCACACCTCCCTGAAAGGCTGGCAGCCAGCGAGCCCCAGAGACCTCCATGTCTCTGTTCCCACAGTACTGTGGTTATAGGCTGTTGTGGCCATGCCAGGCTATTTAGATGGGTGCTGGAGATCCAAACTCAAATCCTCATGGTTGTGTGGAAAGTCCTCTTACCCACAAAGTCATCACTGCAGCCCCTCAATCTGGATTCTAAAAACTTAATTTCTGTGCAAAATTTTAGGAATATGCCTGTTATAGGAAGCAAAGCTCATACATGGATGAGATGTAAAGAGAACAGCAGTCACATGTGGTACCAGACCACAGGAACATTAGTTCCTAGCTAGTTCCTGTCATTGGTAAAACCAAGGGTAATGGGGAGAAAAATCATAGCATTACGGTTGTTGAAATTTGGATCTCGGGTGCCCATGTGCTAAAGTCTTGGTCCTCAGCTTGGCTCTACTGGGAGTGCTGTGGAATTCAGGGGTGGGCGTGGTATGAGAGCTTGCAGTTGTTGGGGCACGCCTGTGAGGATGGGGCCCGCGTCCCACGTCTCTTCCTTATTCTCATTCCTGGGCATAGTGCTGGTGAGCGGTGTTCTGATGTGTGGCCACCATGATGTGAAGCCTGGCATAGGTCCTGAAGCAGCAGAGCCAGTCAGACATGCCCTGGAGTCTCTGAGATTGTGAGTTAAAGTCAGGCTTCTTTCTTTACTGGTTGAGTACCTCAGAGAGTTGTCTGACCTCACAGGGGATGACTTCAGGGGCCAATCAAAGCTTGATTTCCACTGGAAGTTCTAGCTTCTGAAAACTCAGTTTCTAGTCCGAGTATTGTCCTGTGACCCTGAAGAAACACATATCCCCATCCTGCCTCTCCACCAGCATCTGTTCAGAGCACAGAACTTCAGGCCTTGGCTTAAGAACAGAAGATTACAATATTTGCTCACTGGCCCAAAAAAAAAAAAAAAAACAGAAAAGAGAGCCTTAATGTAGCCCTTCAGAATGATTCAGACTTCACTGAAAGGTAAAGACAAAAACACCTCATTTTAGAATTTTTAAAAATAATTTATTTATTTTTGTTGTATGTGCATTGGCATTTTGCCTGCATTTATGTCTGTGTGAGAATGTTGAAGTCCCTGGAACAGGAACAGGAGTTATAGACAGTTGTGAGATGCTATGTGGGTGCTGGGAATTGAACCTGGGTCTGTTAGAAGAGCCATCTATCTCTCCAGCCCTGGAAAACTTTATTTAGCATTGTTAGTTTGGGTGTTCTTAAAAGACATAACTGAACCAATCAGAAGAGTCTAGACATTTATAATCGGATCCTGCTGTATCTTTCAATCTGCCACCAGAACTCTAGGTTACCCATAAAAGCAAAGACAGACAAAGGTAAGGGAAGCAGAAACAGCAGATGATTTCCTGCTAAACCACGTTAAAAAAAAATCAAACGGTGTTGCAGTACACCTGACATGAAATTTACTATGTTGAGTATTCTAAACATACAAAACTAAATCTTGTCTACCTACCTGGTAAACTGACGACTCTCTTCATGAACTTCCATTTCTGTGCTTTTAAATTCATTTAGTTCTTTTCTTATTGCTGCCTAAACAGGAGAAAATGAAGCAGAATTTAGGTTGCACATTTTCCCAACCTACACAGTATCTGCCAGGCAGATATTCTTCTATGACATAATATTTTGGGAAAGAGAAAAAGAATCACTAATTTATTCCAGATTAAGGTTTAATAAATAAAACATGTTACAGTCTGAACACTCCTGATATAAAACTTGGAAAAATCAGAACTCTTCAAAATCTGAAGCTTTCTGAGCCCCATGTGAGCCCCAGTGGAAACATTCCATGCCTGACCACATGTGACAGTTGCAAAGCAGAGGTATGGTACAAACATGTAAAATGGCCTTCATGTGTATGCTCATGAATGCATTCTTTTTATGCAGTGGTGGGGATTGAACCCAGACCTCACGCCTACCAGGAAAGCACTCTACCACTAAGCTAGACCCTGGGCCCCATAAATGAATTTTGTGTGTAGACACAGTCCTCATTCTTCAGCTATCTCATCTCATTATGTCCTTGCAAATAGCACAAATTCTGGAAATACTCCTCAGTCATAACCACGTTTGGTTTTGCATTTCAGAGGAGGGATATTCAGGTGAAAGCCAAATTAAAGCTAGGGCAGCCTCCCTTAGAGGGTCTTTGGTGTGGGGGGAGGCAATAAGGTCTTCACCAGACACACTGTTGGGTCATACAGCAATGTTCCCCCATCTGATGACCACCGCAGATGGAAGGCATGGGTTTTTTCAGAGAACCCATAGTCTGTTCTTAGGAAAGTTTTACATTGAAGCCTGTCCGCCCATAGCAACATAGCTTTGACTCACTGCCACAGGGATGCGAGAAGGCAGTTGCTATTTATTTTTTCATGCTGAAAGTTTAGACAAACAGGGCTAAAAATTCAGCACAGCATTTAAAGCCACTCACAGAAACATCAAATAGAAGGCCTTATTTAAAGAACACATAATCCATGCCATGTACAACAAGATGCTTATGCATGCAGACTGGAAAGGGGAGACGCCCCTCCAAATGCTAACTTTGGCTGTCTGTTAACAGACAGAGGCAGGATTATACATGGGATTAGTTTAAATTTCTGCCTTATTTTTACTTCCTATTTTTTCTACAGAGAATATCTCACTCATATAAAAAGTATTAAAAAAAAACCCTCCATCTTTATAAGCTCTGTGTAGATTGCACTGTTTAGACAAAACACAGAATATTGTAAATATTATTTATGCAAAGAATGTTTTCCCTCATATAAAAGGAAAAGTAGAAATAAAATATCCTTATGACATCTATGTTAAAGGGACTGACTTCAGCTAAATACCAAATGTCAATATAAACCACAGGGAGTGCCTTCCGAGAGAAATAGGGGAATTTACTTGGTGGTTGAAAGTCAATGAACTTTGGAAAAGGGAAAAGATAGAACAAAGCCCCAAGACCCTTTGTGGCTCTCACCCATCATTAACTAACATTCTACTTCTCTTCCAAAAATATTTTAATGGGATAATTAAACCCTGTTGTCACAGACTGTCTCCTCCACCCAGATATATTCTTTAGGCCTGGAAGTCTCTTTGGGAGTATGTGTGTGGGGCTTGGGGCAGTGAACAGTGCTCAGAATTCTTATTTCTAACTCTAACTTTTGGAAGTGCTAAGGCAAAGACATGTTCGTAGGCCAGAGTCCCCTATGACACAGTTATGCCATGTGTTTCACCAATCACAACAATGTGGATGCTTGGTTTTGGTCATAGTAACAACTGGCACTGGAGACAGGAACCAGACAATTGCTCAAATGAAGTTCTAGAAAAAGTTCCTCCTTGGAAAGAAGTGTTTGCATGTGAAAAGGGCAGAGAATTCCACGTCTGTGTTCATTTAGAATTTCTTCTCTATGCAAAACTTTCAGCAGAGGCTGTGGGAGGCACCGAAACTGGCCGAGGAAGACATGGATGCTAGCATTAATGCTCCATGGCATCATGACACTTAGGGAGTAACTTTCCCCTTAAGCTTCAGCATTCCTACTGGTACAGCTTGGGTGAGTGTGACCCGAAGAGCCATGTGGTAAGGCCCAAAGTCCATGGAGGCATTATTAGAAGTACTGTGAACACATAAGAGGTAGGGTCTTATGTGTCTTTAGGTCACTGAGGGCATGCCTCTGAGGAGATTATTGGACTATAATCTATCTTCTCTTTGCTCTCTTAACTCATGAGGCAAGTGGCCCAACCATTCCATATCCCTACCAGACACTCTAGCTTGTGATTACTTAGGCTTTTATATACGAACTGGAATAAAACTTTTTCTACTAATATGCTTTAGGTTGTTTTTTTTTTTTTTTTTTTCTTTTTTCTTTTTGGTTTTTTGAGACAGGGTTTCTCTGTGTAACAGAGCCCTGGCTGTCCTGGGCTCACTTTGTAGATCAGACTAGCCTCAAACTCATAGAGATCTGCCTGCCTCTGCCTCCTGAGTAATTCACTGTGATGCAAGAGGACGCTGATGAAGGAGAGCTGAATATAAACAAGATGAAGGATTTACTGGTGATAGTGAGCTTGCAGTCAGTTGAAGAATACAGCAAAATCCAGGAAAAACATTCAAAGAGAAACAGCTTGGCTATGGAGTTTATAAATCAGTACAACCACAAACTGTGCCCCACTCCACACAATAAACTTATAGCTTTCCATAGGCAGATGGCAATAGTGGACAACTCCCCCTTTCAGTGGGCTAGGGGAAGGGGATGAGGGGAATAGGGAGGGAGGGTGGGACTGGGGGAGTTGATGGGGAGGGTTTCAATTGGGATATATAATGAATAAATTGTGAAGAAAAAATTAATTAAAAATCTTTAAAAAGAACTATGGCTTTCCAGTCCCCATCTCCCCAGCACACACCCACTGCTCCCCACAGAACCAGTCACGCATTCATGGGCACAGCCCATCTCCTCTGAAGGGTCACCAGATCACTGCCTTCCTCAGGTGTGCTGTCTGCTTCCTCAGCATGGACTCCGGATGAGTCCCGTCACTGCTCTACAATGTCACCACATCACGGCCTTCCTAAGGTCTGCTACCTGCCTCTTCAGCATGGACACCGGGTGAGCCCTGTTACTGCTTTCAACAGGGAACATGGCAGAATCCCTGTGCCGCTGTCACTGCATTAGCCTAGGCTATGTCTGTTCCTGGCCCAGCAACACTTGCTTCTTGGAAGCCAGCTGCCACATGAAACACTGGACTGCCCTGAGCAAGGTGGAGGGTGAGAATTCCCCAATACTAAGAGAGACTTTGGAGGATGAGATGTCATGCAGACAGGGAGCAGGAGGGCAGAGACACATCCATCAAGAAATGACTTTGGAAGTGGGTTCTCGAGGCCTGGCATCTCTCCAATGTCATGGGGGCCTGAACCAAACCTCTGGACTGATGTGCTCCAGAATTTTTACCTACAAAGTTGTGAGTGCTATACATCCCTGATTTAAGCCAGCAGCTTTGGGCTGCTTTATTACAAGGCAGTTGAAAATCTACATGATGTTCTAAGATGAAACACAGGCCCAGAGAATCACTGACCAACTGTATACCAAACATTCATTAAGTGATTAGGATGGGGGGGGTCTACCCATAAACCTGCAAGTCCTACATATACCCAATACCATGGGATTGTGGCCGGTGGTGCTGGGTTGGACTACCTATGGGAAAGCAGCTGAAACTCAGATGCAGCACCAACCCCAAATTGCAGGGAGTTGCACTGAGACCATATGCCTAGTGGTGTTTACTATCATGGGAATTAAACCCAGCACATAAAAATGACTAAGCCTAGGTTTAAGGTTGGCTAGTGGTGAGTAGCCACATGCATTCTTAATCTAATCAGAGCTCCTCAGTTTGGAGGCACTTCTTGGCAAGAAGCAACAGGCAATTTGTTGAAAATATGGTTCTTGCAGCCTTCTCAAACATTCCAGCATGGGTTGTGAATGAAGAATTAGCTAGAATTTCCGTGTGCTATCTTTGGTTTATTTCTTTGCTAAAATGCTGTTATCAGACAGAGAGTGGACTGCTCACTGACTCATTAAGCTCAGTGTCATGGGGAGGGAAGTGTGCACCCCAAGAGCAACTAATGACATTCCACAGAGAATTTGCATCACACTCTTCCCAGGACTGGCTAGTCAATGCATTTCTGGAAAGGCTCTATTCATCTTCATGTCCCCTGTACCTAAGATAGCATTGAGTTTTAATAAATGAGGCAGATCTATGTATCATCAGAAAATAATATGTATTCTGCTTTACTAGAAAATTTTAGACTGAAAGTCTCATAAGTATTTTAAATTTTAATCCAACTTGGGTAACCAGTGAGTGAAATTACTTTGAGTATCTAAATAATATTTGAATTTATTTTTCTTTAAAAAGTAATATAAGCTTTCAGTAATTTTTATTTTCAAGAGATTTGTGTGTGTGCGTGTCTGTTTGTGTGTGTGTGTTTTCAAGACAAGGTTTCTCTGTGTAACAGCCTTGGCTGTCCTGGAACTCTCTTTGTAGACCAGGCTGGCCTCAGACTTACAGAGATGTGCCTGTCAGACCTGCCTGCCTGTCTCTGCCTCCTGTGTACTGGGATTAAAGGCATGCACCACCATGTCCAGCCACTCAAGTGGGTTGCAGAGATCAATACTTAAAAAATAAAACTAATTTTAAGCAACATTTATCTATTTCTGTGTATGTGAGCCTGTCTGTGTGCTTGTGTAGAGCACTGCATGTGCCGTGAGATGCATGTAGAAGCTAGAGAGAAACTTCCTTTCATTATGTGTGTTCCAGGGACCAAACTCAGGTTGTCAAGAGTTGGTAGCAAATTAGGTTACCCACTGAACCATCTCATTGGCCTCCTAACCTAATTCTTAACACAACAGTTAAATAATACGTAATGAACTTTAGAGCAATTAACTTAATGAATCAATATATTATTTAGACTCTGACCAATAAGTGTTATGAAGTATTTTAAGGTAAAAATAATAACAACCATTTTTTTTTCTTTTTGCTACAATGACAAGTAGCATGCAATTTTCACCCTTAAATAAAATGCTTTTTAGCATGTGGGCCATATTTCTTTATACGTACTTATGTGTGTATATGTGTGTGCATGAGTGTGTGCGTGTGTGTGTGTGTGTATGCACATGCGCATGTGTGTGTGCACACTCATTGGGCATGTATGGAAGCCTGAAGTTGACATATGAAGGTCTTCCTCGATCACCGTTTGCATTATTTCTTGAGATATGATATCTCAATGAGCCTGGAGCTCACTGTTTCAGCTTGACTGTGTGCTTAGCATCCCAGGGATCCAGCTACCTCTGCCCCAGCTACCTCTGCTAGGGTTAAACATATGTATGATGAGCAGTTAGCTTTCTTACATGGGGTCCTAGGATCCGAACTGTGGATTTTATGCTTACTGAGCAGCATACTCCCTATAGAACCAGCTACATGGGCCCTGTTTACACCTATTTTTACAATCATGGGAAATGATTTAATTTTTCTCAGTGTTACGTAGAAAACAGTATTTTTAGACATTCATAAAAATGCTATGCTTTGATCTGAATTACACTGTTGATTTTTACTGTTTGTGATTCAGCTATTTGATAAGAAACACATACTGTAGTAAAACATACTACACATAAACAGAATGCTTGCATGTACAAAACATACTGAATGTAAACATGGTCAATTTTTGCACTTTTCTATTTTCTACTTTCTACCTTTAAAAGTACACACTTTTTTCTGTCTAAAATAAACTCTTAATTTTAGAAAACACACTTTTGCTCCCTAGAGAACACAAACACAATAAAAGCACAGCCCTAAAAATGTCGTCCTTTTGACTTTCAGTCACCTCAGGATAATGTGTGAGATTTCTGAGGGAGAAAGCGAACCTCCCCTGTAAGTCAGGATGGACTCTGGCTCCATGTTGGGGCTCTGGTGCTCTGGCTATGGTCAGAAAGGGAGAAGTGAGAAGTCTATGTCTTCAGAACACTCCAAAACAGAAACCATACTTGTAGAAGAAAACCTGACCAGGCCCAATACACTGCAGCTAATAAGCCCAAGACTGAAGTCTATCTTAGTCTCAGTTCAGATGTTCTTAAAAAAAAGAAATCTCTGCCCATTATAGCTGGAGACAGATGAGCTCTGCCTTTACAGGGAATGGCAAATTGAGTTTACATATGAGGGCGGTAGTCATTTGGACTGTCACTCTTGTACTTTTTGAAATCTGTAGGTTTCACTGTTTATCTGGCCCATCTAAAGGTTAGCATTTGAATAATCAGGTGGCTGGTAATGGATGTGGCAAATCATACTTTTCTAAGAAGGATAAATAACACTTTCAGTCTATACAATATGACCTTACTACTCCCCTATCAAGAGATAGAGATATCTACTCCCTTCTCCTTGGTTCTGAATTGGCTTTATGACTTGCCTGGAACTAACAGAATGAAGTGGACATACAGCCAAGTGACTTCCAGAGCTGATTGGAAAGGGCCACGTAGCTTTTTTTCTGGTCTCTCTTGGGACAGATACCTGCACAGAGGGAAGCAAGCCTCTCAGGGAGGATGTATGATCACTTACACTGAAGACATCATTTGTAAGTAGTTCTGTGGGCAGCCCAGATGAGCTCCACATTAGAGTCATGGCAACCAATACACAAGTGTCACTATACGTTGAAAGAATTTCTTGCACATTGTTTGGATGCATCGCCTGTCAATTAAAAAAAACCTATAGCCTATAGTATAGGTAAAATAGAAGATGAGATATTCGGCAGGCAGAAAAGATTCTGGGAAAGAGCCAGATGCAGGGGATTTGCCTGGGAAGATGAAGGAGGACAGATGCATGGTACCTGAGCAGAGGTAACCAGCCAGTTGGCAGAACTAAGATTAGAACAAATGTGTTATTTTAAGTTATTAGTTAGTCAGGAATCAAACCTAGCTATATGGCCAAGGTATTTGTAAGTATGTTTTGAGTCTCATAAATCTTTATTCCGGGAACTTAGGGCTGGGAGGAAAAACCACAACAATACTACACAGAGTCATTAAGTGCCTAGTTACAGGTATGACATGTATTTATTGAAAGTCAGATTTTGCTGAGAGTAAAAATTTATGAACTTACTGTTGGAAATACTTGTAAGCTCCTAGTGTAAAAAAAAAGTTTAAAAAGAAATAGTTGGTATTAATCTTTGGGTATGGGAAGATTTATTTTTGCTCACAGCTTCAGAGCTGTCAGCCCACCATGAAGGGAATGGTGTAGTGGAGAAATGAAGCTCATGATACAGTGGCCAGAGAGCAACAAAGCGAACATCAGACAAGGCTGCCACAAGAAGTAACTCCCAAAGACATTCCCCAGGTTGAACTCTTGCCTCCAACTAGGCCTTAACTCCTACCTTTCAGCACTGCCTAATAAATATTATGAATTTCTCAAAGGATTTATTCACTTGTTAGATCAGAGACTTCCATATCTATTTGCCTCTAGAAATGCCTGAAAACACAGCCCTGCGTGCATGCTTTATGATCTCCTAGGTCTTTTGTAATAAAGACAACCTAATAATTAAGATTGACTACTGCTGTGAGGAAACCCTCCTCATCTATGCTTAAATAAGGACTGTTTACATGGCAACTGAAGACAATTTCTCTGAGACACAGTTGAAAGAACTGTACTGCTATTACTCCACATGCCCACTTGAGCATTCAGATGTTCAGAGGGAGAAAGATGATTGGATGGGTGAGTGGAGGATGAGTATGCAGGTTTTGTAAGCACAAAAATGTCACTGAAATTCTTACCTTGTCTGCGGGTGTCAACCTGGCCCAGGGCTTGTCTGCTCGGCGGTCATAGTCGGGAGAATCGGTCACTTCTACATACTCATTAAACCGCAGGATCCTTCGGGCTTGTAGCTCTGCCACTGTAGGTCTTAGGCTAAGCTAAATGAGGAAGGGGAAGGGGAGGAGGCAGAGATCAGTTACACCTTTACAGCCTCTAGGTGGCAAGTTTTCTGTGTGGAACACTTATAAGTTAAGGTCACTTTCAGGTATTAAAAGAGAAGCAGTGGCATCTTGGGAATTTGTAATAAGACCTAGAAAGTAGCATGCCCTCATTTCCACACTAGAGGATCATCATTGCTAGCTAGGTCATCCTTTGGCAACTGTCTGTGTCGTGCAATTCCCCACAACATGCCTCACAGTGAGATTAGGCTTGTCAGCTATCTCTGACACAGGAACACACAGTGACAAAGGCCCACCAGGTAAATACAGCTCTAGAATGGCTGTGGTGGCAGCTGACAAGTTTAGACAAAAGCTATGGAACTCCTAGAAAATGGAAATGAGTCTCTGCTCCCAGCATATATAGAAATACAGGGTTTCTCTGCAGAAGTAGAGAAAGGCACAGCTATAGTGCAGCCTCCCTGGAGGAGAAGGGCCATCCACAGCCAGAGCAGCTGATAGGCAGGTGAGGGAGGCTTCCTTTCTGTGACCTTTCTGACATGACTGTTCATGGGCTTCCTTCTGGAGTCCTCTGTACCATTCAAATTAACTATTATGTTTAATCTGGCACCAGCCCTGGGGCTGTTTTTGCCTTTTTCTCTTGATCCTTTCACCAAGAGTAAGACTGAGATAATTCTTCCACTAGAACAAAACCCAGACCTACCTAACCTACTTTTGCTGTGAACTTCCCAGCCAGCCCTCACCAATGTGAGTCAGATCACATATTCAACTATGATGTCACATTTTAGTCACCCTGTCCCTTTCCAGGTATGCAAGATATATCTGATAAATCATTAGAAGGATTTATAATGAAATATCAATTCTGATAGTGCTTAATTTTTCCAAAGACTAGTATTTGTAACATAGAGGGAAAAAAAAGGTTGTGGCCCTGGGATCAGGTTTGTTTTTCTGTAAATAAGTGGAAAGGATTGCCAGAGTTCCAGAGAGAAGCCATTTGTCAGTTTTGGTAACACTGTGGTCAAATTCCCTCAATTAATTACTCACTCAGGTCTGCTACAGAACAATGACAAACTGCAAATAGTCACAAAATACTTATTTAGTATTTCCTAGACTAAATAGAAAGTGTGAGCATTTTAAAATCTAATTAAAGACATAAAGATATATTACAATGTTAATGTTGGTTCTTTAAATAGAAGATTTGTGTGTGACTTTTCTTTTACTCTTACTTTTTGTATTTAAACTTTTCACTTAAAATACATATTTTTATAATCAGTAAGTGCATGTACAAACTTTGTTAATTTTTCAAAATGAGCACAACATGCAAATAGAAAATAATCGATCTGTATGCATTGTTGATTTTGTCTAGGAATGATGTCTTGGTGAGGTAATAGGAGCAGTCATCCCTAAACATTCCATTCACATGTTAAGACTGGGTTTTTATCTAACAAAAATAAACTGTATCCCAGAACACACATGCTCATTAGCAGTCATAATGTCATCACCTTCCTGCTGAGTCTCCGTTTGAGTTCCATTTTGGCTTCTTGCTCCTCTTCTTCATTCTTTTCTGTGTATTAGGGAGGTATATGGACAGTTACTAGAGATAATCGTATAATCAGAAAAGTCTACCAGAAACAATTACCCATCTGTGGCTTATGCTGATCAAACAGCCATCACCTTAGACATGTATCAGAAGATTCCCCAGGAAGAGCAGTCACATATGTCATATATGTGTAATGATGTCTTTTTTCCTAATGGAACTGGTTGCCTTTTGTCACTAATTTTAAACCTTTAGCCTCTAGATTTCTTGTTCTACATGCATATTATTGTTGACTACCACCTGGTTTTAGAAACAGAATCTACCAGAATTCAGAGAAAATTTTACTCTGGATATGTCCTTCATGTGAAAAATCAGAGACACACTGAAAGAACAAATTAGAACCAATGCACATCCAAGCTGCTGACTTCCATTCAAACCCAACCAAAATATTTAGTTTGTCTTCCTATGTTTCCATAGAAGCAAATGTAAGCATTCCTTGGGACTTGGCTTTCAAGCCAATGTTCTGAATGGGGTTATGTTGTACTATGGGTAGAAATTATTTATTTTCTTGTGACTTTAACTTTCCAAAGCCGTCTTTTCCTCTAGTGCTTCATCAAGTAGTGCAATCTCATGTAGTCCAATGAACAGGAGTGCAAAAAAGTTCAGAATTTTAAAAGAAATAAACAGCTTTGGGGATTTATGGTATGCATATTTGAAAAGCTTGTCTGTTGCTTCTCATCTGTGTTAAGGCACGATTCTACTTCATAGTAAAAATACGTGCTGATGTTTATATTCTAAAGACTCTACTGAAGAAAGACTGTACTGTAGAAGATCAGTTAAAAGGCTTCAGAAAAACGCTCTTCTATGTAAAGAGAGTTCTATGTAAAGGCTTTATTTCTTTAGCACATCTATGAGTATGTGTGTGTGTGTGTGTGTGTGTGTGTGTGTGTGTGTGTGTGTGTACAGGTCAGAGGACCTTGAATGTCATCATCTGCTGCTATCCACCTTGGTTTTTAAGACAGTGTTTCTCACTGGGACCTGAGGCTTACTGGTTAGACTGAGGTGTCTGACCAGAGAGCCCCAGGATTCCAAGTGTCTCTGCTCCACCACACCCAGCTTCTTAAGTGGGGAGCTGGTGATAGAACTCAGATCCTCATGCTTGCACAGCCAGCGCTTTACTGACTAAGCAATTTCTCCAACCCCAAAATGTATTTACTGTAAAAATTCAAATGGCCTTTTCACCACTAAGGCCATTGGTTTCATAAGTAAAACATTAGTGTTGACTACGAGCAGCACCTATGGGTATTTGCTCATTGACCCCAATAAGTTTCTATTCTTTACACATAATGAAATTTCTGTATTCTTCTGAAATATGTCTAAATATGTCTTTTAATTTACAAGGAAGATGATCCATGTCACTATATACAGTGATACAATCTGAAATCAAGCTTCAGACAAGTGGCACTTGAAGATCTTGCATTAAATGAATTTGGTTCTATCTCAGATTTCTTATGTAAGCTTTGCTGATTGCTTCACAAACACATGTCTTTCTCTACCCTTAAAATGTACACAAAGGGTCAATTACTTAATGTGAACTAAATGAAGCCTGTGAATTGACTATTATACATATTAGACAAATTCCAAACTTCTTGTTAATATGATTAAAATCAGAGCTTCATAAGGCAAGAACTGTGATAATACAATTACTTAAAGAAAAATATAATCCTTAAATGTAATTTTAGTCATTTCTTCCTGTATGCCTACCATGCTTCATTTCTTTTTTTCTTTCTTTAAGCTACTTTTTTTAAAATTTAAATTTATTCATTTTATTTTAGGAGTGTTTTGCCTACATTTATGTTTGTATACCATGTGTGTGTTTGGTGTCTACAAAGGTCAGGAGAGGGCATTGAATGTCCTGGAAATGACACTGAAGATGACCGTGAACCACCACATGAATGATGGGAATCAAACCTGGTCTTCTGTAAGAGCAGCAAATGCTCTCAGCTGCTAAGCCAGCTCCCCAGGCCCCCACCTCCCATGCTTGCTTTCTTAATGGCATTTTTCAAAGAGACACAGCACATAAACAAAATCCCGAAGGTTTTCATTACTTATGTGGAATGTCATTTCTCTGAAGGCAATACTAGTTTTGCCCTATTAAGGATGTTGTACAACAAGGTGACAGCCAGTGACGTTTAATAAGGAAGCGCCACCGGCAGATAGGGAACAGGAGTAAACAGAGACTTACCATCTGGGAGTTCTGACATTTCCCACTTTTGAAGTGACACTTCTAAAGAGGGTAATGGATGGAGGGGAGGTGCCGAGGAGTAGCCTCTGAGTCTTGGCAGAGTGGGACAGGGTCAAGGTTAAACTGTGAAGCTGGTACTTAAATATCTCCCGATGTGCCCAGTTAGGGTGCATTTCCTTCACCTTTTGCTTAATTAGAAGGCCAACTGTACAGTATGATGTGAACTGTTTTGGACATTGGGATGGACTGAAGAAGAAAGTAACAGAGCTCTTGGTCAGTGTCTTGCATAAGAGTTGAAGGGTGTTGCCTCAGACAGCCACAGGAAAGTGTGTGAAGAAACAGCTCATTAATATATGTGCTTTAAAGGCAGTGGGCACTGCAGAAACCTGCCTTGTTAGTCAGTGTGGCTCCAACGTTGTGTGGTTTAGCTAAGAGAAGAGGGGGAAAGATCAAAACCAACAACTGGAGTATAGTGCACTGAAGAGCCACTGATTGGGAGAAAACAAACTCGGGCATCTCCTCCCGTATGTTCATTGTGGCTTTTTTATCTGTTTTCTGTGTTACACATTTCCATGTGAGTGGCTTTTTGTTTTGTTTTACTTTAAAATATTTATTTATTTATTGTGTATTTGTTCACAATTACATTGCCACAGCACACATGTCGAGGTCAGAGAAAAACTTGTAGGAGTAGATTCATGTGGGTCCTGGGAATTATACTCAAGTTGTCAGATTTGGTGGCAGTGCCTTAACCTGCCGAGCCATCTCATTGGCTCCAGGTATGCATTTTCAACAAAGAAAATACATTTATAACCTTTTGAAATGTCTATATGTATGTGTATCCACATATATCATATATACATATATATGTACATTTTTATGTATATATACACACACATGTATTAACACGTACATATGTTAAAAAACTCAAATTAATGGGTATATGAAGAATAAGGATGTTCACAGTAGAATATAAATGGCAAACACATGGTTGGTTGACCTCTGTAAAAGTCCATCACTTTTTGTAGGTTTAAGAAATTTCACAGTTAATTGTTGAAGAAAAAAGTTCAGAAATTAAGGCCTGAGTAATTTTTTTTCCCTCTATGGAAAATACATTTGGCATGACAGTCACAACTGAACATAAGAGAAATGTATTCTTTCTCAGGTCCTTTATGGAAAAGGCGAGCCATATATAGCAGTTTTCCTGATCAGCTAGGAAAAGATAGCTTCTTTGTAAGTTCTTGATTTTAAGGGACTTGTTTGAAAAGAAATAATCAAACATAACAATATAAATGTAGTCATTTAAAAAAACAAAACACTTTCACCAACATAGGAAAGCAAGCAAGTGGGGAGCATAAGGGACAAAATACTAAGACATCAAGTCTGTTCCACGCCCTTACAGAATAGCTGCTGGCGTTTATCGCCATCTCAGCCATGCTTACTAAAGTGTGGGCGTGGGTTAGAGAACTGTTGAATACTTTATGCTTTGAATCACTTTTCTAGCCCTCAAGAGAATATCTATGTGACTTACAAACCATATTGTGTCACAGACAGCGTTTTCTGGTGTTTTCATTTATATATTCTTGGGGCTTTAGAAGGAAAACTGGAGATGAACTATTCAAGCAAAAAGGGGAAAGTACAGAAGAGCGCAGTAGCAAGGGGGCTGAATGAAGTGTTTGTGGGCTAAGCCCCTGTGCTGCTCAATGGAAAGAACCTCCCCAGCTCTGCCTGCTTCCCTTGGCTGGTGTCAGGGGACCTGGAGCCAGGTATCAGTCTCTTCAGACTGGAAATGGACCTCCTGTTTCCAGAATCAACATGAACTTAGAAGGAAGTAAAACAGGCCTGGAGTCAAGTCTGAGTTGACTTTGGTCCCTTACTCTTTCCCAAATCTCCAGGAAAACAGAGGCCACAAAAGCCAACACAGCACTTAAGATCAACATGCAATAAATTTCCGGATCCATGAAAGAGTTCCTCAAATAACTAAACTCCACTGTGGCTTGGCACATTGGTCCCCCAAAACAGGATTACCCTGAACTTGCAAGGCCCTCTTTTCAAAGTATTTCATCAGACATCCAATAAGGCATGTCCTCTATACTTGTAGGAGCTCACAGTTCACCTTTGAGCCTAAAGTTTAACTCAGTGAGTATGCCTGAGGAATGCATCATGGAAAACACTGACACTTTCTTGCTGTTTTGTTTTCATGTCAACATTAGACATTTCTAAAGTAAAAATGCACCCTTCTTTTGTAGCCACCTTTTTGTCTTTCCAGCGTGCATTTCTGCACATTAGTAGTAGGCACTTTGATGGGTTCTAATCAAGCTATGCTCACAAATAAACAGAAAAAGTACAGCAGGGAAGAGATATTACAGTCTAGGTGGCTGGTCCTCCTTGTACCAGTAAGTATTCATTGTTTGTTTCGGTTATGGCACCAGTCCTACAAATACACTACAGAATTCTTTCTGTCCTTTAGAAAGGAAAATAGCTCAGTAGAGCATGGGATCATCCAGCAGGTTGACTGTATTCTGCCAGCTTTGTTGAAAAGGATGATCCCATGCCAATGGCTTACTGCTATTGTAGCACTGCTCAGAGTTCTGATGGTTCCCACTCTTTGAAAGACCACAACATAAAGAGCTCCTTTGGAACTGGGCTAACACCTACAAGTTCAGAGAATGGTGGGACAGACTGTTTCTCCTGGGCTCTTCCACACTTTGCCACCAGAAGTCAGAATGGAAAAATGAATCAGGAAATGAATGGAGAACTCTTTTAAGTGTCAAGAAACCACAAAGAATCCAAGAAAGAAGAGTTATCTCAACAAAGGAAAATGAAATGCCTTGAAAAACCCCTCTTACCATAATTTTAAATTGGGACATTTGTTCAACCTAGCAACAAACTTTATTATTCATAACAATATAGGAATGTTTGATTGATTTCCTTGTGGATTCTTTCTTTGGCAGTTATTTGAAAGCAAGCTACAGCATTTGCTTTAATATTTGGGTAAAAGAACACATGGGATACATTTCATTTTTCTCAAAAATAATTGCTATGAGCAGGACTCCACTTTATGGGACTTCAGGCTTAAAGCCATAAAGAGAAATATAAAAACCAAGAAATTGTTTTTTAAAAGATGTAAACATCTAGTAACACATATGACATACACAGGCCATTTCAATCAGTTGTGAATCGTGTTTCTCTCCTGCCTTGGGGGCACCTTATTATTGATCACCTGAGGAACTATTGTATAGCAACATATACTCACGTTTTAAGATGTTTCTTTGCTCTAATTCTTCAGTTGTTGGCCTCTGGCTGAGTCTCCTACCAAGACAAAATGAATATACTACAGGTTACAAGATGATTACGTTACAAGTTACAAATGAGGCCCATTTGGTGGAAGATACAAACAAACAGCAAAACTAGACACTGTTATATCTCAAGAAATAAACATAAACATTGTAAGCCTATAAGATAAATGTTTCCCTTCAATCTGTTTGGACACTACCAAGTGCGGCTTAGACTTTCAACTATCTCCCCTTCACTCACCCTTGAAAGACAGGCACCTGACTTTGGCTGGGCACATGTCTACAGCTCATGGCTTCACTAGCAGCCAGGTGTGGGCTGTGACTTCCTTCTTGCAATGAGATATGAACAGAGTGAAGTTTTTAAGTTGTTTTTTTCCCCTTAACACAGATGAATGTGTGGTCCTTGCTTTCCATTTCTCTCTTGGACAGGCTGTCCTTGAACATGGTGTTATGAGCCAGCTTTGATCTTGCAGATGAGATTACCCAGGGGCATAAGAAATTAACAAAGCAGAAGGAATCTGGCTGTTGGGCCTCTGAGAAGAGGAGAAACTTCTCATCACGCTGGGTGGCCTAGCTTCCTCTAAACTAGTAAGAAAAAAAAAATCAACATACGTTGCTTGAACTCCCATTTCCCTGGCATGTTACAGCAGCGTAACTGATAGCTTACTTAATTAATGTACAGTGCACTGGGGCCTCAGCTGCTGTTGCAAAGTTCATGTCAATGTATGCGTTGCTCAATCTATGCTGCTCAGGGTTTGAAGGGAAAGCCTGTGTCAGGCACTGTAAGTGAATGTATTATACACAACGTTATCTTAAGCTATTCGGCTCCCTCTTCCCTGCTGCTGAGATAAGCCAGGCTCATCCAGGATTAGTAGTTAACTGCTTCCCATGAGAGCAGAAACTCCTAGAAACTCCTCATAACTTTGTTCTTTGTCTTGTTTACATGATTAATTTGTCATTAATCGCAGTGAAAGATTTCCTCAGGATGTAGGCTGAATTTGTGTAACTAAGATGAATGAACATAAAAGACAACTTCAACGTAATGTTTACTGGACCTACCAAATTTCTCAGTGTTAGGACCATGACAAACTAGTGATCCTTCAAATACCTCCTCAAATTTTTGTTGAAGTTCGATCTCCATTGGGACTACTTTGAAATTAAGGTGAGTAAATGAATCCAGAAAATACCCTAAGGAGCACCTGTATCTACACTGGAGTCTATGTCATGTGTGCACTGACAGCGTGACAGAGTGTGTCACGTCCAAGTGTGTTGACTCTCTGTTACTGATGGAACTTCCTTCCTCTGGAATGCTTTCTTTTCCTTTCCTACCTTCTAATATCTTACAGTTGACTAAAATGGGCCCTCAAAGGTTGTCTTGCATTAAAAATGAAAGCCTCTGCAGGACCCCCTGGCCTCAGGCCTTTTAACTTTGTTGGTCTCCTTGTGAGGCTCCTATCCCCTCCATATCCCTCTATTTTCACCCCTCTTCTTCCATAAGACTCCCTGCACTCTGCCCAAAGTTTGGCTGAGTCTCAGCATCTGCTTCGATCCCCTGTTGGGTGGATCCTTTCAGAGGACCCTCTATAGTACACTCCCATTCTGTTTTCTCTCTTCCACCGCGTCTAGTGTCTATACTGTTTGCCATTCTGAATGAGATTTAAGCATCCTCCGTAGGGTCCTCTTTAGTGTTTAGCTTCTTTAGGTCTGTAGATGGCTAGCCTATATTATACAGCTAATATCTACTTATAAGTGAGTGTATACCATCTCTGACTTTCTGTTTCTGGGTTACCTCACTCAGGATGATCGGAGGACTATGCATGATCAGATGTGGCTGATTGGCAGCTCAGTCTCCATGTGGATCTCTGAGTGAGGGGAGCAGGGACCTCTATCATGAACTCAGTTGCCTGCTCTTTTGATCAGTCACCCCTGGTGATGCGGCCTTACCAGGCTACAGAGGAAGAGGATCCAGGCAGTCCTGATGAGACATGATAAGCTATGGGCGGATGGCAATAGTGTAGAACTCCTCCTTTCAGTGGGCTAGGGGAAAGGGATGGGGGTGGGAGGAAGGAAGGATGGGACTGGAGGGAGTTGAAGGAGGGGGCTTCAGTTGGGAGATTTAATAAATTGTGAAAAAACTTTTAAAAAGATGGAAACAAAAAGAATGAAAGTTTTTATCCATACATGAGAATATGTATGAGACTTGGCTATTAAAAGCACAGATAACCACGAGAACAACCACATCTACCTTTAGTCCTACTTTCAAAGTTCCTAGTATTGTGCTGAGATGCTTAATGTGTCTGGAAGAAACCTTAAAACAACTCAGTAAGCTCCCCACATGCAGATGAAGAAAGAGATTAACTTGCTTAAACTAAAACACAGGCAGGTTCCACTCCCACCTCATCTCACTTAAAATGTCCAAATTCTAACTGTGGGTAAAATCTTAAGCAGGATGGAGAAGGTGTGCTGTGTTCACAGAAAAACAATCCTTTATTGTTTACATACTACGAAGGACAAACTGGATTATAATAAAAAATTAAAATATAGATCATGTGTGTGCTTAACAAAGATATTAAGAATTTGATGGGTGGCACTGTAATACTAGCCTATACAAGACACAGGCAGTACTCAAGATGGACGGTTAGAACTGGTATCCACCATTCTAATCTATGCCCACATTTCCTGTGTTTCCCAAGGAAGCGTGGGCATCGTCTCCAAAGAACTCTTGACGAGACTGGTAAAAGACTAAAGTTTTTCCCTGTTTCCTATCAGTGTCCTGGTTTTGTCCACTTGGTTTGTTTTAATTTGTCACGGCTATAAACAATCTCATAATACATATATTTATAAACCATCCTTTAAAGAATCATTGTAGGTCTTTTTCCTCTTACATAGTCTCCATGATGGAATTATTATGCAAAGAAATAAGTTTGTAATTATTTTATCATAGTGTTAAACTACTTCAAAAATATTGATCAAGAACAAAGTATGCTATTTTTCCATAAATGTTGGTTTAATTTTTAATTGTGAACTACTAGTTTAATAAGTCTATACAATTTAAGTTAAAAAAATAAACATTTAATTTTACTGTGGTCCAGGTAGTAAAAGCTTTAAATTTAAGAACTCTGTTTTATGAGAGGCATCTAACAGTGGGTATCTTTTATCTTGTTTTAGATACATTTCTGCCAGTATTTTTCTTAGTTTTAAATAAGCCCTCATCCCATTCATTAATTCATTCATTCATTCATTTGCAGTGCTTAGGATCAAGTGTAGGGTCTTATATTTGCTCAGCAATTCTTTAGCACTGGGCTTCACCCTAGCCCAAACTCACTGATTGTGACTAGCCCTCCCTCACTATTAAGCTTATCACACTCTCAAATGTTTTCGAATGTGCCACCAATGGTTTTTCATTCCATCTCAGTGGATGATCTTTGGTCTTCCTTGAGCTCACATTAGAAGAGGTGACATTTGTCTTGTTTCCTCTGATAAAATTGAAACACCATCAATGCCCCATTTCTATGACAAAATCCTACTTCCCTTTACAGTTCATACAAGTGGCGCATCTGATCAACCTGTGTGACTAATTTTTCTCACTGATAAAAGTGTTTACTCTTTCTACTCTCTAAATCCATTCCATCCATTGTGTTTATCTGAGCTAGAAGTGTTTTGAGCCTCAGGTGAAAGAAACAGTTGGCTATTTAAATGGCCATAGCAAGTACAGCCATCTCTCCCACTCGCTGTACTCTCCCGTTCTGTGTCAATGGCAGCATTAGTATGATGCTCATGTTTATTGACTAACCTTAGATTTTTGAACTTGCAGGAATTATTATGTAGCAGCTTTGCTTTTTACAGAGTTTTCTAGGTGTATAACTAAGAATATTAACAGCATTTTGGTCTGACGATTTATAACTTTTTTCCATTACAAATAACTATGACTAGGCATTTAGTATAAAAAGAGTGGGAAACTTTGCTCATTTGAAAAATGATTTTAGGTTTTTTTCTGTGTACTAACACAGTTAACATAATTTTATAAAGCCTTTAATTCTGGAGTGTTTCGGGCTTTTGTAAGATAATAACATTTTACCTGGGTGCTAAAGATAGAACCCAAGTCTCAGTGCTTGCATAGCAAGCATTTTACCAGGTGAGCGATTATCCTGGCACCATGATTCACTTAAAAAAATCCTTTACTATGATAAAGTACACTAATATTCTTTGCTTTTAAGGAGTTTATCCTATTTTGCTATCATTTTACATGCATTATTGTTCAATGATTACATTTTTTTCACAACAAAACATAAACAAAGGCAATAAAATAATAAAACACATTTGTCACATATTTTCCTGCGTGTGGTGTAGAAGAGATGGTATAAAAGAAATCCATCACAGATGAACAGTGATCCTAACTTGTTTCTGAGGAACTGCATGGTTTTCAGCAGCCCCCTTCCTCTCCCGGAGGCCCCAGAGAGGCCCCTGCTTTTATTTGTTAAGAAGACAAATTTGACATGAAGGTCTTTTGATTTCTGCTAGCTCTTTCCTGAAGCAGGAAATGGTCCAGGCTTAGGGCTGAGGTGAAAACTCTACAGTGACAAGGAGACCCTGGCAATCTGCTCAAAATTCCTTCTGGAATCCTGGAGGGAGCCACAAGTGCTAGGGATTCCCAGGCCTTCGGGGTTCCTTAGGAGGGTGACTCTTCCCTACAGATAGGAGCCACAGCCGCTGTCACAGAAAGTCACCCTTTTGGCAGGGAAGGGCCTTAGGGGATTCTTTCCCTGTGGAGAATGGCAAATGCTCTGGTAGCTCTGGTAGCTCTGGTATAGAGGCTCCAACAGCTTACTTGACCAGCACAAAGCTAGGCCACTGAGGCTTGGCACTTCTCCAGTCTCACAGCCCACATGGACCTCACAGTTTTCACATAAATCTCAATGAGTCCTCAGATTAGAATAGATGCTGGACAAGCTGTGGACTGCAGGCCAAATTCTTCATGCCATGCTTTTTGGTAAACATATTTTATTAAAGCACTCCTGGGCTTATTTGTTTATATATTATTTATACCTTTTATACAATGGTTCAGTTGAATAACTGCAGCAGAGACCAGTCAGCCATCAAAGACTGAGTATTTATAATTGATAAATTGTTAGAAAAGTGTATAAACATGTAAGCTAGATTTTGGAGATCTCAGAACTACTGGATAACTGACCATAAGGCAAATTCTTTGCGTGGTTCAACATCTGAGACCAATGGGCCAGGAATAATTAAACCTGGTGAATTCACTGAGACCCCAGGCAGGTAGGAGACACAGAAGACTACTACTATGAATCAGTCAGAGCTGTGCTCACATGCCAGCAAGTACCTGACCAGCTTGGTCCCAATCTGTTGTCGGATTTCCTGCCTTTCTTCTTCAGAAGTTCGCTGTAGGATGTTTTTATCCTCCAGTTCTTTCTTGGATGGTCTGTTGCCAAGTTTGATGGCAAGAGTATCTCTTCGTCGTATCTTACTTGCCAGAGCACCTGAGGATTAAAAAGGGTACATCAGTTTTCACCCTAGCAGGGCTTTGGTTACATGAGCCTGCACTTTAATAGGACCTGGGCCAAAATTTTTACTTGCATGCAAGAGGGGAAACCTAATCAGTCCAAGGGGTGAGGGGAGAGTTGGAGATATTTCATTTTGAAAAAGAATTGAAGGACTTTTTTTCTAATGTTTTCAGAAAAAATAATCTCAAGACACCATGAACAAGCTTGGAAGTATCATCTAATCATTTGGATGGAGATAGCTAAAGTTTATTCTGCTGATATGGTGGATCATGGAAAACTGATTGCACAATGCCTTTGCTTTCTTTTCAAATCAAAAGTTTATTCACTCTCCTTACTCTGTACAGTTAATCCCTGTCATCCTCTTCCCCCCAGCCAGGCATCATGCTGGCAAAAAGCCTACCCTATATAGAAATTCATTAACCCTCAGTCACCCAGGCATTCCTAAACTCCCCGCAGACAGTAGCTATTAGAAGGATGCTAATGAGGGGAAATTTAACAACTTTCTATCAAATCATATACTAATGATTGTTTACTATGTTTATATACTAATGTTTATGTATTAATAACATTTAATCATCTATAAATTCAATCCCACGTTGAATTCCTCCCAAGTCACACTCCTCCTAAATTCAAAACCAAATCAAAGCCCATTGTAACAGCACATTCCAGCCATCTAATTGGATGGAGCCATGGCCTGTTTCCTCTTCAGGTCCTTCCTTTCTAAAAGGCATCCTAGCTTAGCGATAGTGGACAAGGGAGAATGTTGACCTCCAACAAAGTGTGTGTTATTCTTATTCCTCTTCTCTCTTCAAGCTAATTATCAAGTGAGTGAAATTTCCTAATACTTCCAGTAAGCAAAGGAAAGACCTCTTCCCAACATTCTTTCTTTAAGAACAGGTCCCTTCAAGAATGTCTACCTTTGACTTTCCTAGGGAAAGCCTGTTTATAGAAAGCTTAGATTGTATCATCACAAATATCCAGTCTACATCATTGACAAGGGTGTGGCACCCCATGTGGTATCCTCTTCTGGAAAAAACCTGTCATCAGGAGCTAAACTTTGGGACAGGCACATTTTATATTTTTCTTGCAGTGCTAAGAATTGAATCCATGAACCCATGGCAGTTTGCTATCCTCCACACCTCTTTCTAGTTTTTAGCTTGAAACATGGTTTCATGAAGTTGCCCAGGCTAGCCTTGAACTCACTCTGTACCAAGGCTTGCCTTGAACTGGCTGTAGCCTTGCTTCACCCTCCCATGTAGCTGGGATCAGTGGTTTGTGTCACCAGTTCTAACTAGGATAGATATATTTCTAATTTGAGAGAAGTGAGGGGCGGAAAACACTGGGTAGTAGTGGCTGACAAGGCTTTTGTGTTGCACAGTAGGTGGATCTCTGTACACCACTTCCTCTTCTTCTTCTTGGGAAATATTCTTACTTTCTCCACTGCCATCATCATCATCATCCTCTTCCTCATCGTCATCAGTGTACAGGATGGGTCCATCTGAGTCTGAGTCATTGGCTTGGTACTCTCTTGGGGTCTCATCCTCTGGGGCATTAAAGGATTCTGAAGAGTCCCCCATCTGCTCAGGAGTCAGCAACTGAGGTCCAGCTGTTTCCAGCTCATCTTTGGTTATAAAACTGTTAAGGGGGGAAAAAGCAGAGAGTGACGTGAAGTTTAGAACAACTCTTCTGGATACCAGCACCATGAAAAGCATGCTAGTGTGGGAAATACTCTTCATTCTGGGGAAGAGAGTAACACCATGAGACAGCCAACCAACAGAGCCAACGCAGAAGTACCCTGAAGCATTACTTAACTGTTAAGGTTTTATATTTTTATATTTATATTTGCAAAATGAGAAGGTATCACTATATGATACCTAACACATTTAATACATGAATATAATGGAATTGTACCTTGCAAACATATTTGTCCATAAGTAGTGGAAATGTCCAAAGAGTGGTGGCTAGTGCTGATGGAGGGATGGCTTGCTTAGTAAATGCCTGCTGTGGATGTCTGAATACCTGAGAGTTTAATCCCCAGAACTCACATTAAAGAATTATAGCTGTGGTGGTGCTTGCTTATACTCTCAGTGCTCACAGGAAGGGACAGGCAGTTTCTGGGGCTCATTGGCCAGCCATCATGGCCTACAAGGTCAGTAAGAGATACTGTCTCTAAGTGGATGACACCTGAGGAAAGACAGCTGAGATGACTTGAGATCCACACATGCACACATGGGCATACACATACATACACACACACACACACACACACACACACACACACACACACACACACACATGCATACACATGCACAATCACAACAAATAATGAGTCAAAAGCTCCATGGTACTTTGAGTCTATGTGTACTTCTTGCTTGATCTTTAAGTCTAAATATAAAGCATCGGCTTCTTTGCAGATGTTTCTGGATCATGCAGTTGAGCTCTTTACCCTACTCCTTTGTTCTCATAGTGACCCAAACGCAACTCTACTGCAGATCTTAGCATCCCTGACCTGTTTACCTTCTGACACCCATGCCTTTGACAAACAGGATTCATAGTGCTTGGTATCCCAGCACCCAGGACATCACATAGGCAAACATTTATCTTATTAACATTGAAACAAATCCCACTTTCTTCCTAGCCAGTGTGTCCACAGGCAAAAATTCTAAATCATCTCTGTGCTTCCATTTCTTCATGTATAAGGTCACCTCTTACTAGAGTAACACAGAAGATGCAAAACGGTTGATGGAAGGGAGCTTTAGAAGAATGGCAAACACACTGAGGGCAGTGATGCTTGATCATTCAAATGGGTGGAAGGCTTCAGAGTGCTCACCCATTTTCCAAAACTATGCATGGGACAACAAAAGCATGATTTCAGAAATAGTGTAATCGTTATTATAAGATATAGGAAATCTCCCCAATACCTTTTGATATAAATAGATGAAGGCAGAGTTGGATGTCACACTTCTGAAAGTTTATTCAGTGAAAAGTGTGTCTGATATTGTCACAGGAAAAAAATAAAACCAAAACAACCACAACAAAAACCCAACCCCCAACCCTCCCCTGAGACAAACAACAACATCACAACCTGAATGAGACTTGACTATTGAACACAGGCAAATTTCATTAGAACAAAAGGAATTTAAACCCAATTTTGTGGTTATAAGACCAATCACCTCCAAGACTCACCATTTTTTACTTAGAAACACCCAACAGCCCAAATTGTTCTCAAAGAGGTATCTGAAATCTTACTTGAGCGTATGTGTGCATTCACTGAATTTGAATGTCTTCCTTTATCATTCTTATTCTTCAAGACCTGATCTCTCAATGGACCTGGAATGTAACATTCCCAGCTAGAGTGGGCCAGCAAGCTCCCTGGGATCTGCCTGTCACTGCTGCCTTCCTATCTCCAACACTGGTGCTACCTATGTGCACCACTATGCCTTGTTTTTACATGGGTGTGGGGCCAAGTCTTCACGCTTACACAGTCCGCACTTTGCCCACCTAACTGTCTGTCAAGTCCCTGAGACATCATTTTAAATTATGTAACAAAAAATTCCCATCCTAAGAAATGTTAAAGGCCCCCTTCGGTGGCATTTAGACATTCACCTTGCTGTGTAATGCCACCCCATATCTCCGGAATGTTTTCATCTCTCTAAACTGAAGCTCTATCCCCATTAGCTAACAACTCCCCACAGCTCCCTCCCCCCAGAAACCACCATTTCATTCTCTGTGTCTGTGACACTATTCTCTCAACCTCATATAAGTAGAACTATGCAAACCTCAGGTTGTAACTCATTTCACTTAACACCATGTCAAGGATACCCATGCCACAGCAGTGTCCGAGTTTCCTTCCTGTTGAAGGCTGGGTGATATGACACTGTGTGTCTATGCCACATTTTGTAACTAGTTTATCAACCAGTGCAGAGTTGGGCTGTTTCTACCTTTTGGTGACTGTATATGAACTCTACGCACACTGGTGTCCAAGTCCATTCCCCACTTTCAGTTCTTTCAACTAGTGCCCAGGAGAATTGTTGAATCATATAGTGACTCTTTTGGAGACAGCACAGAATGAAGCACCATCACGAGCAGGGGGAAGATTTATTTGTATAGACAAACATTTCCACGGTTTAGATTATTAGCTGATTGCTGCAGAAAGCTTCTCTATTTTGAGGTGACTGTCACTATGGTGACTATATTATGTTTAAAAGCTATGTTAATTAACAAGACCCTCAGCATATAGCAGAACAAGGTACTCCAGTTCTTAATCCTGTTACTGTGCCATTAGTCACTAATCTATTATATTACTTATTTTAATCTTGACATTGGTATAATATTTTGCAGTTTATAGAGTTCAGCAACATTTATTTACAACTCATAACTATATAATCCTATAAGGTGGGTAGGGAATTTACAACATGGATCCAAGAAAGGTCATAAATACATAGCCCACCCAGCCTGGCCAGTGTAGTGTGAGATCCACACTGAGACTGTTAGTCTACTTACTAAATGTTATATTGTCATGATTAGAATTAGTTAATATAAAATATGCCCCCATGTGTATTGGTCAGCTCACACCTTGCTTCTTATGGTTCCTGAGAACACTGGACAACACAGCACATTCCATAAATTTTTGTGGAATGGACTCAATAAGTCATTTTTAAATATGACCTCAAAAGGGTTGTGTTTTTCTGCCCCACAATATAGAGATTTCTGTGTCATGGCTAAAGCTGTAAGGGAATAGAAACATACTGAACAGCAGCCTGTAAGACAGGAAGAGAGGCAGGTATTTTTATATATAACCACTAGCCCTACTTCAAGTTTTGATATTTGTATCCCAAACAGAAGGCTTTTCATACTATGACAGAGTTTTCACACGTTGGGTGTCTAAATATAACCCAGGGAAAGTTCTAAGGAAAGCAAGTGAGTGAGAGCCAAAACCTTCAATTCAAATTCAACTTGAAAGAGAAAGAATTTGGGAGAAAAGCTGAGAGACTATATCTTCCAGGCTCATTAAGTCAAGTGCAAACACAAACTACCCTGAAGAATGCATTATAATCTCACTTTTTACACTTAAAGAAATATACTAAGAAGAAAATGAGTTCTTCCAGGAAACTCTGAGAGCTATCCTGGCTGATAAGAAAATATATGGCACACACTCTCAATGTTGAATGAGACTCAATCTTATTCCCCACAGTCACAGCATCACTGGAAATGGAAAATACATGCTTGTTTCTTCATCTAAAAACTCTCCATGCATTTGTGATACCTAAGACATTAAGTTCCTAGTATACAGTGTGGCACTTAGTGCAATAAACACACTCTCCAATGTGCGTGGAAATGAGTTGGGCAGGATCAAGTTGCCTATGGATAGGAGCTCTCTGAGGCCTTATTCTGCCCACAGTTCACCTTTCTCTTTAGCATACTGAACAACAGAACCATATACCCGACCCACTTTACAAAATTGAGATCCTGTCTTAAACAGAGATTTCCTGAGCACACTGGTCAATGTTTTGATTAAAAGAAACTATCTGGAAATAGCTTGTTTTGCCCACATTTATTCCTTTGGTGCTTATGCATTGCCCAGTTCAGAGCAAACAAACCCAAATTACACACTGAAAAATAAGAAGTTCAGTTTGGAGGTTGAAGTAACGGCAGTTTTGAGAAATTCTACAAGGAAAATAAGGTGCGCTGTGTGCTTACACAGGATTTAGATGTGTGCTGTGGGGATTTAGATGTGTCCCTGGAACGTAAGTACTGAGAACTTTCAATGCATTAGCACCCAAAAGGCAAGGCCTCCTGAGGGCAAAGCCATAATGAGCAGATGAACTCCATGACAGAGAGTGGCCTTGGGACGGGTTTAGCTGTCTTGCTCTCTCAGCCCTGTTTACCTTCTGCAGCAAAAACTTTTTCATCCAATGCTGGATTTCTCAGCCTCTAGAATTTTAGTCAATATATGCACATTCATTATAAATTACCTTTTCTCAGGCCATCTGTGACAGCACCACCAAACAGACTAACAGAGATAGTATCTCATTTATCTCAGTGTCTTCTTCTCCTATGGCTTTTATTAAAATATCAAACAAATAATTTGTTATTTGGTATTTATTTACCTTCTCCTCCCTTTTCTTAAAATGATATTTTTCCAAATGATAAAAAAATAAGGAACCAATGAACTGTTATAAAATAAAAAGAGCAGAAGTTGATGTAATTATTTTGGAAGACAGGAAACTGTTCCAGGCCTGTGGTTTGGTGTTGGGTGCTAGCATTGGTCTCTTACCTGGCCACTGTTAACTTGGTGATGGTTCTAATCAAACTGTTTAAACTCTCTCAGCTGCAGTGGTTTAAATACTAATAAAAATATATAAAGAGGGATAGCCTAGAGAAACTTATGTGAATTAAATGATAATGGGCAGTGCTTGGTTCCTGCCATGGGTCACGTGACCAATGAATAAAGGGTCCTATTACCAGCAATTAAATAATTAAAGTGTTTTGATCAAAGCCACCCTAATTAATGTACCGAGTATCTTTAAGAGCTTAACATGACATTTTTAAAAATAGAGATTCGATTAAATGATCCCAAAATGAAATAAAACCTTAGAAACAGGAAAAGGTTAGAATTTAGATCCAGATCCTCCCTAGACAGAACCGACAACTGTGTCTATTAGACAGTGTGCTAGTCTACCCTACACCTATGGAGAAGAGGTCCAGCCTGTCAAATTCAACTTTAATGGCATGTTTACAGGACTTTTTGAGTGACAACAGTAGAGGAGAGTGAAGATCCTAATGAGCTCGAGGTTTCTGAATTGGGCAGCTGGAAAATAATGGGCCACTAGCCCATAAGGGACAAGATCAAGTCCATCGGTACATTTTAGTTAGTTATTTTCTTGAGCAAAACTAAGATAAGTTGAACACTACATCTTCTGTTAGGATCTATAGAATCCATCCTCAGAGGCAGCTCATCTTCAGCTTCCCTGAAGTGGGCTGTCCTTCCCTACAGGCACCTAGCTCACTTTTCCACGTTCACTTAACAATTCAGTGTATGTGGCATGGGGGGCCTGCAGAACATTAGGCTCTGGTTGCTGAGAACCTGGAAGTACGTAATCCATGCTGGCTACTTCTACTCTACATGTAGGAGAACTTTTCTAAGTAGTTACTACCAGTTCTTGCCAAAAAGTATTAGAAGGTTTCACAGAAGAAATTAGAGTTCTGTGAAGAATTCACATGAAAGAGCTCATTCTACTTTTGGTAAAAGTGGAGTCAGAGTTTTAAAGAGTTCTTTACTGTTGCTCTTAAATTTCCTGGGAAAGAAAGCTTAAAGTTGTTACACTGAGATGAAGCTGAGCAAGAAATGAGTCAACGATGTGGAACCAAATGATAAAGATTTAAAACAAGTACCAGAAAGACAAAGAATGAAGTTGTCCCTGAGGGAAAGATGGATGATGAACCACTGCTGACAGAAGGCACTGGGCTGGTCTATTTGTCAGCATCAGCACTGACACAGCCTGTGGGACTCCACAATCAGGGCTTAGGAAACCCAGTGGTGAGACTACAGGTACGTTTACCTAACATCCAGTAGACTTAACACAGGTGGGAGCAGACTACATTCCTTTATTCCAAGAGAATACTCTAGTGGCCTGTGGTACTTAGACAGAATGTTGGCTCTGTGACCCAACTCACCATTTTGCATGTTCTCTGCTACCACTGAAGTCAGCGCTTGAGTACGGAGTGCTTCTGCTGGTCGGTTCTTCAGCCCAAAGGGGCTGGCTTGTGTCTAAGGCAGAGACGGGCAGAGTAGGTCCATCACTGACCAGGACCACGGGAGTGTCCAAGGCAACAATGCACTGATCCTCAGGGGGCAGAGGAAGAGCAGGCGGAGAAGCTGGTGCTGCCGCCGTTGGTGCAGGGACAACAGCCTTGGATTTGCCTGTGGCCTGTTGCTCTGCTGCAGCAACAGTTTCCTCTGGTTTGAGACTCTCTACCCCGCTGTCTGAAGGTGCCCCTTTAACACTAGATGTGCCAGAAGTGCTTGTGTCTGAGGACAGCCGGGAGGTCGCCAGCTGCTTGCCAGGTTTTTTCTTGCCCCTTGTGGTGCCCACTGCGCCTGTTTTGCTAGCAAGTGCCTCCTTGGATGCTTTGGGACGAGAAGAGGTGGAGGAAGTGGATGGCGATGCCGATGCTTTTAAGCCAGCTGTTTTCTTCGGATGAGAAGAACCAGCTAAAACAGAGACATTTTTTGCATTGAAAATCAAAGAATACAATAATTTTTAAGTGACCAAGAGGCAACTGCCAATGACATTTAAAATTCTCCCTTTAAGATACATTGGATCAATGAATGTTAAGAAAATTAGTTAATAACGATAATAGTCTTGTTTTCTGTCCCCTCCCCCAGCCTTTCATGTGAGAGGGAGCAAGTGACCTTCAGAGTGAAACTAAAGGGCAAGAAGCTCCTATCTTTTCTCTCCTCCGTCTTCACCTGAAACAAGCAAACAGGACAGCAGCTTCTTGTCTGAGTCACTCTTACAGACTCTAAGAAGACCTTGCTCCTGCGAAGGGAACACCCACCACTGGCAAGCTGGCCACAGGACACAAGTGGGCCTTTCATAACGACATTCTTTCCTTGTGTCTTTCTGGGGATGGAGAGGTGGCCCGCATTGAAAGGAAGCAGGGAATATACTTCTATCCTCCTTCTGGGTCACAAGCCAATTAATTTATCTCACTACCTCCAAGGCACACTCCAAGGCAACTGTTCCCAAAGCTCCAGGGAAGGAAGTCTGTCCTGCTGGCCTACACTTCCACCTACAGTAGTGAGTGGGGATGGAGAGGGGACAATCACAGTGGAGAACTGGCCCCCAACATCAAAATGCAAGGAAAAAGTATTTTCTAAAAAATATTACATGGGTAGAATGTGAGTAATCTGAGAAGAAAGACTATCACTCTCAGCACCTGCACATGTGTGCGTGTGTGTGTGTCTCTGTGTGGCTGCTCATGTTCATGCTCTTCAGTAGGTCTTCCTATGTTGCTCAGTTTCGTTTGAGCTCTTGGGATCAAAGGACTAATTTGCTTGCTTCTACCTCAAGAACTGCCAGGGCATCTCTGCTTAACTCTGGGTAGAGTTTACTTCAGATAAGTCATTTATAGGAAAGCAAGTTAGGTAGCGTTTCTTTTTCTTTTAAATAATGCTTATATTTGAATTTTTCTTTATGTCATCCTAAAATATCTGTTTAAACTCCCACGAGAATTTTTTTTTTCTTTTTTTTTTTTTTTTGGTCTCAGGGCCTTTATGATCTGTATTTTCTCCAAAAATCTCTTCTACTCTGATGCTACATATTCTTACTTTTCCAGGAGGGAGCTAAAGTTTCTTTCACATAACTATCAGAAACATCTTGTTAAAACTCCAGGGCTATCCCATACTGCACACAGGTATCATGGTGACTTACCTCTGGATGAAACTTTATTGAAGTCAATGAGAGTTGAAATGAAGAACAAACAAAGGAACAGACAATGAGACATACGACTTCATTAATTTTGAAATGTAAAGAAGCCAGTCTTATTTAGTGACAAGATTCAGGCTTACAAGGGTCTCTCTGATTGCAGCAATTACTGTTTTAGATACACACAATAGCTGGATTTCCCCTTTGCCAAATCTGTGCTTGTCTATAGAGTTAATGAACCTGCTAATCTCTCTCTCTCTGATTACAAGTTAAACTCATTAACCATACTAAAAACTCTAACTCCACGCTAAATTAATTTTTAAATAACAAAGATATGAAGGGGTTTGTGCTTAAACCTATATAACTATTTTCGTAGTTAAGTTATATAGATACTTTCTTCATATCAATGCTAATAGTACAAATTTTTAACATTTTTGAATGATTTCACTATTTGAAAATATTTAATGCCATCTCATTTTAAAGAAAAATGATTTTTTTTCAAAACCTGGAGTGAAAATTCAAGACATATTTTGCTTTTAACATCTCTTGTAACATGAGAGGGCTTTGTTGAGATCAACCTTGGCTAAAAATGAAATTTCACTTCTGGGTTAAAAATTTTTTCTAATAGCAACAATGAGAAAGGCAAAATCCTGGCAAAACCAACAGTGTTTTTGACTGATAGACGGGTGGATCTATAAGGCCTCTACACTCAGTGGGGAAAAACGCTAGGTAATAGCTGTTTTCAGAATGTAAGACGTGCAATGGAGAAATCAAGAGCCTCAATGTAAAGTCTGCTTCTCTGTGACAGTCCTAGAAGCAGTCATATTCATTTGTATAAAGGAGTCTGTGCCTTTTATATCAGTGCACTGGATAAAATGACAGTTTCCTAGTTTACTATCCTCTTAGAAACATAATCAGTATATGCTAAATCTTTGAGAAATTATCTGTAACCATCTCAAGATTTATCAAGAATGCTTCTCCAGCCTTTTTGTTCACCAGCTTTCTTCCCACAGTCTGAGCAAAGTCTACAGTGATCTCACACCACCTAGAGACAGAGCGAGGGAAGAAGTGTGTGCAAGACAGGCTCTTAATTCCCAAGTGAAAAGTGTTAGTTTGGGAATTTTCCTTTCTTAGTAGCTCAGTGCCTATGTCACGTCACATACCACTGCTAGGCTGTGTAAGGCCATGAGGGACATACAGACGCCAATAAAAAAGATACTGAGTCCCCAAGGAAATGACCCTTAGGCTCTGCTGCCTCATCATTCTGAGATATTTTATTTTAGAGAGATTAGAAGAGGCCTGAGTAACAAAGATCAAAGCTGGGAAGAGAGGATCCAGGAAAGGACTACTTGCATTCAGAGAGCTGTTACATTGTGAACTAAACCTTTCTTTGAATTTCAGTATGACAAGTATAAATTGCAAGAGGAAAAACATAACGCTAAGGCAAATCCTTGAGGCTGGTTTCTGAGAAGTGGCTGCCGATTTTAAAGGAAATTTGTTATAGTACAGAAGAATTTTTATGCACACATTAATGGGGAAAAGATGTTGAGCATGAGAGTTTTGATTTGTGTTCTTTTAAAATTTAGATGACATAGTTGGCATCTTTTATTGCACTAGAGAAATGGAATCTTTACTTTTCTTGAAGCATGTAAGGTTGAAAAAGAAAGCTGGATGGGCAGCATATAAGTTGCAAATGTTCATTCATGATTTGTGATGGCAATGTGTAATTGCACTACACTCGGACACTTTGACGGATGGTCTCCCGGAGTGGAGGTGAGGGGGCAGCCCTGAGCATACCACTCTCAATGCATCAAGACGATGTTATGTGGAGTAGGAAACGGGGTGTCGCTGACCATGTATACGAACACTTTGTTCCTTATTGGAGGACAGACGACTATGGCTGTTGAAAATTTAAGACATTACAATCCACCAAATATGTCAAAGCCCAAGTCAGATATTCATATGCTAGCCTATGGGATTTAAAAAGAGAAACACAGAGAAGCCGCCCATAAATTCACATAGGCAGAAGGTCAGCTATGTCCAGACACTCTTTCATCAGGTAAGCATCACTCCTGGGCATACTAAAGGAATGGGTCTATGTGTTGATTTTGGAAACTATGATTAAGAGTTCACAGTTACTCCAAAGACCACAAAGTTATTTTTTTTTTCTTAGTAGATAGCTACTGGGGAATCTCTGAAGGATTCCTGTGAGAACCCTTTCCCCATAAACCTCTACCTGGTGCTGCTTTCTGAGACAACAGTAGACCACGCTCCTGGAAGAAGCCCACACTGCATACAGACCCCCCTATTGCAGAGCTTCACACCCTGTACCCTACCCACTATACCCCAGGGCATACTCACCGGCCTCCCGGGGTGGGTTTCGGCTTGTTGGCTTGGGTGGAGGGATGGGGGCCTGCTTACTGGGAGCCTTGACAATTTTTCTATTAGGAGACACTTCATCCCCTTTGTGGCTGGCCCCAGCAGTGGCCCCTTTGGGAGGCACAGGAGATTTTTTTGGTTTAGGTTTGGGTTTAGGTTTGGGAGGAACTGGAGGAGGTAGAGCAGGAGCAGCCAGTGTTTCAGAGTGGATTTCAGTATTCTCTACAAACAAGAAAGTGAATAGAGCAGACTGATACAGACAAACCATAGAAAAGCAAGGAGTGAGACATGGCGACCGTGATACACACAGGTGGCTTTATGGCGTTTGGGAACCAGACAGTGTTTGTACCAGAGGAAGCAAAGTTTTGAGGCAAAACAAAGAGTAAACAACAGACTAGAGGAGGGTTCTCTGGGTCCATCAATCACAACTGACAATGATGAAGTTACACCAGGAGTCAGTGTAAATGTGCACTAGCCGTCAGCTTTAATTCCAGCCTTCAGTGTGTTGTTTCTGGATGATGACATGGGCAATGAGTGCTAAATGCATCACAATTACCAACTTAGCAACAGTGAAGGACCTCCAAGAACGGCAGATGAGAGCAGTACACACACTGCAGCAATGCCTGCGCTCCCAGTTATCTTTACCCGGCTCCCCCAGTCAACCCGAAGTCTTAGTGTGGCTGAAATAATCAGGCATGTTCTATACTCTGGGAGACCCTGGGGGCTTCTGACGCAATGCACGTGGCGGTTACTTCCTACCATTAGAGAGCTTTTGCATTCTCCCAGTGGAGTGTGGGCAGCTTCAAATTCTACAATGCCTCCTTCCACCCTTTAGATCAGAGCCACAGCGATAGGTATGCAAAGTGCAGAATAAAAAAAAGTCCACTGTGTCTTCTAATGTACACTTACATAACAGTTCTGAGAAGACAAGGCATGCATTTCATAGGGAAAAAAACTGTACATAGGTCAAGGAGGCCCATGAGAGCAGGGGGAGAGACAACTTTGTTCTGGGGATGCTGAACTCATGTGGTCATGTCTGCCTGTTTGCACTAGTGACGGAAATTAACTAAAATATGGTTCCAGCCCAAAGAGCTGCGTGGTGTATCTTTTAAAATGGAGCACAATAAAAACTAAAGACAGTGTCAACACAATACAGCCCTTACTTACTGAATTGATATTTCTAGTTTTGAGTGACCAAGAACAGCATGGCACATGTCCTATTCCATTGCCATTTCTTCTACTTTGTTTTTTGGCCACACATACATAAACCCTAGTAGTTCCTTGGAAACTCTGAAGAGCTCCTCTTTAGCCTTCCAACTCTCCTGTGATAGCTTTCTGTGAGGGCCTGACACAGTGCTGCTCCCTAAACTGTGTGTGCATAAACGTGTATCTACTCAAACAATATCTTAAGTTATTTCTATTCAGTGAATGTGTCTGGCAGACAGTACTGACAATCAGAAAACACTCTTGTATGTGGATGGCAATGAATTAGGTTATATTTCTTACTGTAAACATATGATTCAAAGGCTTTGTACAAATTGAAGGTGGAATAATGGAACATTGCCCTTTCAAGGGGATGTTATGAAAGAGCTGTCTGTTCATTCTGGCTTTGGAAGAACATGAGGCTTCACAATAGCAGTCTGGAAAACAAGCTGTCCACTCCATATCCAGGCTTGTCTTTCTCCTCTATGTAAAGATCTGACATCAATAGTCAGAGCCATTCAGTACTTCATGTGTCCTGCACCTGGTCTGGAGGCATTTCTGTTCTAATTCCTCTCTTTGACTTGCCTGTCTCCTTCCTTCCTCCCCCAAGACTTAGTCTGGAAAGATGGCTTGCACAGAAACAACTCTGGGCGCCACTGGGAGCTCCCCTGCTCTGGTACCCCGACCTGTTCATAGCTTTGCATCTTATGATGATTGTCTGGGAACTACCTGACAGGCATCTGCTTTTAGACAGGGACCACTCCTCATTCTCTTTGTGGTCTCCACTAGAGTTTTACACATGCTAGTTCTTCAGTACTGTTGATTAAACAACCAAGTGCAGACTACTGTTCCTTCACTAAAGGCCTTTCATAATCATGCAATAAAAACAATGTCAAACAACTTTCAGATTTAATGCTGTTAGACTGGAGCAGACTGCTGATCAGATTCTGTGTCTCAAATATCCAAGGACACCTACTGAGAAAGAACAACAGTCGACCAAGAGCTGAGAAGACCTTGAGGAAGAAGTCTCATGTTGGCAGATAAGGCCCAAGGCCACTCTACCAACCATGGAACCAGGTGCCTTCAGAGAACCCCAGAAATACCCATGTAGTCTGAACCAAGCCCAGCCACAGAGCTGGGATGATGGGCAGCTCCTATGTGCTTTGCTTTTGAATAGTTTCTTAGGCAAGATGTATATACTCCTTTAAAGACACATGACTTGGTTTGCTACTACAACCAATTAACATGGGGAATGGTACTATTGAGTAGATTAGCTTGACTCAGAGAGGGAGGCCTGCAAAATTATGGAGTTAGGATCATAGGAGGGTGGGTTTGCATGAGTGTCAGCTCACATGAGTGTAAGACCAGAAGAGAGGCAAAACTGAATCAGATTGTTTGTTTGTTTGTCTTGTTTTTTTGGTTGTTGTTTATTGTTTGTTTCAGCATTAAAAGGTGTAGGACTAAAGAAGTAATCCATATCGTTGTTCATAAATAAATTCTACTTAAACTAATTCTCTGTGATACTACTCATGAGTGACATTTTTTTTTTAGATTCAGGGAATGATTCCATTCTTAATACCTCTCTTGGTTAGTAGATAGGCTCCACATGGGCTCTCTCCACACAAAAGGGGGCGTGGCAGCTTTGTCAGTGACACACCAGCACCCTTGGCATCTCCAGCTCCTCATGTACTGATGCTATCATGGAACTTTCTTGACTAGAAAGAACTAAATGTACTAGCTTGAGGAATAAGAAAACAAAACCTCTTAGCTGTTCTTGACCTATAAGATCGGTCATCTCCCAAGAACACCAAGGCCTGCTGGGTTAGCTAACACAAACCTGTCAGCAACTTTGCATTATGCTGATAAGGAAAAATCTTCCTTTCAAATCTGGCTAGTTACTGAGTGCAGTGACACACACAGGGACTACAGACAGGTCACACACGGATATAAGTTTAACTGTTTGTTGAGACAGGATAGTTGGAACTAAAGAAAAAAAAAAAAAAAACAGAGATCTGTTCCCTCTCAACCAAAATCTCTTCCAAATCTGTCTGCTTTTTCAATATGTACCAGAAATATCATCATGAAAGCACAAGCTAATTTTTTTATAATCTGTATTAATAAACTTAACTAGAGGTTTTCACTGAAAGCTGAGGAAAGTCCTCTAAATACTATGCTTAATATCTGAGGAGAACAAATTAATAAATTTCCCATAGCTTTTAAAGCTTTTAAAGGCTAGTTACTGTATATGCAAATAATCACAAGGCTTCAGTCTCCTAAAGATGACCTCACATGAGCAGTTAACTAACAAAGCCTCCCCCCCACACCTTTCCTTTTGTCTCTGAGAGGATTTGGATCAAGAGGAGAAAAAAATTTACTTAAAAGAATTTCTAAAATTTCTCAAAATGTCTACACAATCCAAATGAGGTTGACAAATACTGCCATCCAACTCAGAGACAACCTTATAGAAAATACATATTTCCTGAAGGTCCTTCTTAGATATATGGTAAAATTTTATTCAGAGGTTTTTTGGCTAAACCTTTCCTTATAGAACACTGGCTCAAGGTCCATGTAAGTACAAAGCTTGGTGTGGGGTTGGGGTGGAAACACCATTAGGAATTCATGAACAGCTACCAAACACTCTAGAGAAGCCTTTTCAGGAACAGCAGAGTTGCCTATAGCATAATCTGAAACTTTTAAGTGCACAGGTAGGTCATCAGCAGCTAAGGCAGCAGTGAAACATAGCTCCTATAGATGTCTTCCTTGCTGTATCTTAGACATGTCTAGAATCTAAAATACTGGGCCATGTGGATGCACCAGCTACTTCCTGCTGCCAGAGGGCGGTTCTAGGCTGAGAGAGAGACATGGCCCCTGATGAGCTGCTCACTAGGACCAGCTACAAACCATATGAAAACGTTTTGATGGCTCATCTTTTTCAAGGCCTTGAGAGAAAGGTTTTAAGAAAAGGAGACCATTTCCAGGTAAATGTAATACCTGAAGAGCTCAATCCTTTTGATCACTACCATTAATTAGCTCTCCTTAATAACACCAAAGCAGATGGTGTACTTAAAAATACATGTGTCCACCTGAGGACCTGCCCTGCTTCTCTTTCCTAGCTTTCTTCTTCCAGTTTGCAAACGTCCTCTCTGCAGGCTCCTGGCTTTAGAATCACTCTTTGGTTCCCAATGTCGGGATACTACAGGAGATGATATGGGATTCTCTTTATTTTACCTGTCTTCTCTTCTGCCTTTTCCTCCCGAGGTGGTGTTTTCTCACACACAGAGCCATTCCCTTCTTCAGGTTTCCCTACATTCTCCTCTTGGGTAGACTCCTCTCCGATGTGTATCATGTGCCCGTTTGAATTTTCAAAGTTAACTGTTACATCTCCATCTAAAATTGGAAAGAAACACCTAGATGTCTAACTTGATGGCTTTCTTGAAAATCATTTTCCCACTTACTAGGACTGCAGGATCTGGGTTCATGTTTCTGTCCCTGGGAACCACATAATCGTGTTTCCCCATTTAATTTCATTAAAAGAAAAGAGGTAGAAAAATCTTTGGAAAAGCAGCAAGGGACAGAGACCTCTCTGCCACCTCAGACAGAAGGCATGCCCCGAAGCACACAGGGCCCAGGCCAGCAGTTACCCTGTTCTTGTGTTTAGGTTTTGTTGAAGTAAACACTTAGGTGTTTCTTTTGCATCCAGAAACTGAATGAAGGAATGATCTGGAAAATGAAACAAACATTGTAACATGTCAAAACCACAAGATGAATACAAAGATACAAATAACAGGAGATGCAGCTACACACAGAGACAGGCGTGGGAGACAGGCCATTTCCAGGCAGCAGCGTCTGCTGAGCACGCTAGACACCATCCGCTCCACGCGGCAGTGTGGCTGTTACCTTTGTTCAGGGAAAGGATGGTTTAAGGCTAATTTCATTTTCAAAATTTCTTCATTGTAGGAAGGGTAAAAGCTAATTTTAGCTAGAAAACACACATAAAAACTAGTTACAGAAGAATTTTAAAAATTTACAGCTGAAAGTAAAATTTTTCATGTATTGTCTAAATAATAAAGATTAATTTTAACCCCTGATTTTTTTTTTAAGTCTTCAAAATGTTTAAAATTTGAGGGATTTCCAGAATTCAGTGATGCTTGGAAATATTATCCCAGTAATTATTCCCAAACATGTAAGAGGTTCTGTTACCACTTTAAGAGAAAAATTAAAGAGCCAAAGTTTTGATTTAAATTAATTGAAAAAAATGTATTAACAGAGTTTTTCTATTTAGTTTTTTAAATTCATTTTTTTGCAAACGTTATAAAACAGAGATCATTTCTCAAAATTTTACTGATTTGCTTTATAATATAATTCACGTCTTCTTGTCAAAAATCATGATATTTCCACAAATAAGATAAACAGAATTACACCTTGTTGAAAATGAAAATGAAACTGTCACACAATCACGTAGTTCCTAAGGACCTAAATTCTGATTCCTATAGAAGATTAAAACAGACAATAATAACACACTAAGGCTATGCTATTGCAACCAAATTGCCACAATTTCAATAATATTAGGTAGGAATTATTGGACTTGAAACAATTAATTTTAAAAAAGAGAAAAAGAGGGATATAAATACATTGATAAAAGTAATATAAAATGAACAGTTCCAAACAAATTAGAAAAAAAAAGTCCATTTATTTCTATGTAAACCTTACTTTCAAAGCAACTCAAATAAAAGTTTTATTTGTATTTTCTTGTTTTAGTTAGTAGTATCCTAAAGTCATGCTAATAATAATTTAATGCTATTCTAAGTGGTCATATTTTATCAAGTTAAATAACTTATTTTTAAAACACTAGAAAAACCACTATAGAAAATTTGAATATTATCACAATAGTAAGCATGAAGAACAATCAACTATATGGAAAGGTACTTACTCTGAGTCATAAAACAAAACTAGTACATAAAAGTAATGGCAGAAAAAGACCATTTGTAGAAAATATGAAGAAAAAAAGAGAACTGACAATATTAAGTGAGTAGTGTCTATATTTTGAAATTTTTCTTAGAAATCTGTGTTAATTTTTTTTTCTCAGAATTAAAATAAACTCTGTCCCTGATATAGTAAGCAATGCAAGTGGAATCTAAGCCAAGAGAAGATGTCAGTTGGTGCCAAGTCAGGCCTGAGTTATAGGAACAGGTGACAAACACTGGAAGAGTCGTGACCTCAAAGGAAGGAAACTTAGAAAAGCACATCCAGCTCAGAGTAGAAGTAGAAGAACAGTTACAGGGAGAGAATCACATGTGACCAAAAAAAAAGTGATTCTTCCGGAGAAACCCAGCCTAGAAGATATGGAAAGTGGATGTAAGACATGTAGCTGTGACACTGTGCCCTCATGTCACAGCTTTAAGAAAAGATGGAGGGAAGAACTAAGTGGGGACTCACTATAGACTAGACCGTCTGTTTGTGAGAGCTTCTCAGGAGAGAAGATCATTTGAACTTTCAGATTGAAGTTAAACTTGGTGTGAAAAACACAATCTGAAAGGAATAGTAATCATAGAGGTCACAGGTCAGGCTGGAGTGAGGCCACAGCCGGGACAGCTGTGGTCCACCGAATGAAGCTCATGAATGACAAGCACTGTCAGGAGCTTCAGCAGTGACAAGGAGACAGAGGCCACAGCGAATCCTCAGTGACAGAGAGGCTGTCCCCAAACAAAATCCCAGCCTCTCAGACTGGGATTCTCAAGAGAATTTTTCTGAGGAAGGGGAAGATGATGGCTAAAATGGGAAAACAGAAAGCTACTTTCTCTAGTTCTCAGTTGAAAACCAGTAGATTTTCAAGGGGCATTCTGGGTACTTCTGGTCTTACCCAGTCCATCATCAATCCCAACAACAGGTTTCAATCATGATGTCTTCCTTCATTTTTTAATAAGATTTTAATTTTACTTTTAATTACGTGTATATGTGTCTACACACAGGTATATGCACATGAATGCAGGTCCCTCAGAGAGCAGAAGAGGGAAGTGAATTCCCTGGAGATGGAGTTGCAGGCAGTTGTGAGCTTTTAATATGAGTGCTGGGAACTGCATTCATGTCTTCTGCAAAAGCAGTAAACACTCTTAACCAATGAGCAATTCCTCCTCTTTCCCCTTTTAAAAAATATTTTCAGATAAGGGGTACCGAACAAATGGGTGGGTCACTCCACAAAGTGAATTGCACAGGGTTTATCTCAGAGGCTGTGAAATTTCTTTGACACCTCTAGAGACTGGTGAGAGATGAGCCTGGATACTGTCTGCCTATTTTCTGCATGCCCAGTTCCTGCATGCCTATCTACCTCCTGCTAGGAAGGGGAAGCATGAGCAGTTTTCATTTTTAAAGCTCTGAAGCAGGAAACAAATAGCTCCAAGGTAATAGCATATTGAAAACTACAAAAGGCTCATTAACAAAGATGGGGGGGGGGGAAACTTGACAAGTCAGAAATGAAACGAAAACTTCTAAAACTGTGAGAGCTCGCTCAGTCAAAATGGTATTATTCCATCCAGGTCTCCCTTACTCCTACTGAAGCATCAATGCATTTCCAAGCTGCACACTGGGATTATTCTGGTATGGAAAAAAACATGACATTTCAATTAATATACAATGTATGCCTCCAAATGTCATATTCTATCTATCTATCTATCTATCTATCTATCTATCTATCTATCCATCCATCCATTGAAAAGTATCATTATTTAAATTCCAAACAATAGCATTTTACTTCTTCCCATAAAGTCTCAACAAGTTTACTCAACCTCAGTAAACTTGGGGGATGAAAGAGAGGAATGATCAGCACTGTAGAAAAATTTCCTTTAGTTTTCACAGCAGTGGGAGCAAAGAAGATAATTTGGAATTATCTATTTGGTAAAAAGGGACCCAGTGTCAGTGCCTTTTTTGAGGGTCAGACAACTTCTACACAATTCTTGTCTTTTCTGATCAACTTCTGCGCTTCAGAGGATAGAGGTAATAGAGAAGGAGAGAGGTTAAAAAACAAAAACAAAACCAACAGAAAGAAAAACCAAGCCAAAACAAAACAAAAATGTCTTAGAGAGAATTATCAGTGTTGAGGTGAGAAACAACAAGCTTCAGAGAAATAAAAGAGGAGCAGATTACTGGGAGGGAACATAAGGCAGATTAATTTGCCCCCTCATGCTGTATTGATTTGTGAACATGAGTGTGTTGACAGGAGGCATGGCTGCTATTTCTTTTATTGGCAGTGTTTAGAAACAAGGAAGGCCTGAACAAACTACAGCTGAATTCTCCCAATTGAGTTTAACATGGATAAAAGAATAAAGCTTGAGGTTGATGAGGAGAAGAACCATGGTTACATCTTGACTTGTATCTCTAGCAACCAAAGCAGCATGCTGAAGAGCAGAGTTGAGAGCAACCTATGGGGAAAGATTGACTACAAAAGTCACAGAGCCCTTTTCTATAACACCTCAGCTTCTTGGCCACCCACAGAGACAGTGCAGGTCAAAGCCAGATTCCTGTCCTGTACTACTGGCTGCTTTATCTTACAACCACCATGGTCACTTTAAATTCCAACAGAAAATGAAAGAGCAAAGAATGAAGAATCCAGCTAGGGTAAACGTGAGACACATTTCCTCACCTTGGTCAGGCAATTCCTTAAGCAGGCCCCTTCGTATCAGCTCCTCTCGACTTTGTCTGGTGGAGATCTTCCTCTCTAATACTTTTAAAAAGAATAAGCACAAGTAAGAATCAAGTCATTGATTACAATTATGAACATTCAAAATTCTTGAGCATGTTTATTCTGTCCATGTGAAGACTCAAACCCTTGTTTGTTTGTTTGTTTGTTTGTTTGTTTTATGCCCACCAAAAACACTTGTCTAGAGTCCATAGCACAGCAAGGGCATAAGCGTATCAGGAACCGAGGTTCAACTTCTGCACCTTCCCAAGATGCTCATGTTTGAAAAGGGATCCAGACATTATTGCATACCATCTATGGAGCAGAGACGCCACTTAGCATCCTTTTTTGGGTAACGATGCTTTCTACAGCACATGCTGACAGAGGCGTCTGCAGTGACACATGCAAGTGTGCAACTGGACACAGTCACGTGGAGTAGGTCTCTGTTTCCCCAGATTTTATACATGTACATACACCATGTGTGTACATAGGACACAAAAGCAGAAGTGAGACTGTCCAAGGGGAAAGGAGGATAAATGGGAAGAGGGACTGGTGGGAAAGGAGATGGTAGAGGGCATACGCAGAAAATACTTTAAGTAGAATACTTGTATGAATAACAATGTCCTTATATTACATAGTAACATGTATAATGACTATATACAATAAAAAGAAGAAAGTAATAATGTAAATGTTGAAAATCCAGAAAACCATGCGGACTTTCAGAAGATCTAAAGTTGTTTTCAAAAGCCTTTAAAATTATATCAGTTGTGCTGGAAAGGTGGCTCAGAGGTTAAGAGTACTGGCTATTCTTTCAAAGGTTCCGATTTCAAATCCCAGTAACCACACAGTGGCTCATCACCATCTATACTGAGCTCTGTTACCTTCTTATGGTGTGTAGAAATACATGGAAGCAGAATAGTGCATAAACAATAAATCTTTAAGAAAATCACAGCAGTCACTCAATTAATCTGTGAATGCACATGTGCACGCGTCCAACCCCACCATGCCATGGGGTCTATGTACAGGTCAGGGGACAACTCGAGGGGGTCAGTTCTCTTCTTTTGCCATGTAAGACGCAGGGATTTAACTCAGATCATCAAGTGTGGCCGCAGGGGTTACTACCTGCTGAGCCATCTCACCAGACTTGAATTAGTTCTTTTTTAATATTTAATCTTTTCTTATTCTTTATTTTATGTGTATAGATGGTTTTGTTTGTGTATAGGTCTGTCCACTACATGCATGCATGGTACCAGGAGAAGGAGGCAGAAGGATGTGTTGGATCTTCTGGGACTGGAGCTATAGACAGTTGTAAGTTACAAACTGTACAGGGTATAGAGAACTGAACTTGGGTCCTCTGGAACCACCGACACATCTCTCCAGCACCCCGAAATTCTGAACAAACACAAAATGAAACAAAAAGCCCCAAATCAGATACCCCCTAGATGGTTCCTGTAAAGATGTCATCTGAACCCTGCTGAGAAGGGATAACCTTTAGTGGGTTTGTTGTTGTTTTAGATTTTTGCTTTTGTTTTCTCTCTCACACCAACTCAAAAGTTCAACAGAGTGTATCCCTGCAACTAGTGGTTGTGATATACCCTCTGACAAACCTTATAAAGAATGAAGAAGGGAATTAGTGATGGGCAGCTTTTTGAGGCAAATGAAGGAAAGGGAATTGTGGGTTCCTCCTTCTGGAAGCAATCTACATTCCCGAAGTTCCCTGTGGGTGAGCTCAGGAGCTGAAGGCAGGGCCTCAGTGGCACTGACCTGCATATCCGAATCTTACTCTGCCACTAGCTTCCCTTCCCTCTTGAGGGTCCAGTAGGTTGTGTGTGTGAGGTGTGGGTGAACAGCAGGTGTTGAGCTTGGTTAAGCACATGGACGTCCCCAAGTGTTTACTGAAGGCAAGAGCTCCCAGAATAGCAGCACTTAGTCTCTCTTGAGGAAAAATTATTTTCCTTCCTTCTGATAACTAGGAACTGTGTGCTGCTTTTTTCTTTTCTTTCTTTTTTTAAATCCTGGTTGCTAGAAAAGACAGCATAAAACTTAATACTTACCTCATGTGATATTTCACATTTTCTCCTTTTTTGCAACCTGAACTCACTTTTATTTTATGCATAATGTACGAGCTCTTTGGTGTAAGTTGTCAAGTGTGCCATTGGAATTAGGATGTGAACAAAGAAGAAAATGAATGAATGAGTAAGTGAATGGTTAAAACAAACAAAAAAAAAAAACAAAGATGACAATGAACCCCTATTGGTCTTAGTAGAGGCACATCTGTCTCCCTTCCCTCTGCCAGTCCTGTTCTCTACTACCCCTTTTGGAAACTAGTATCCACAGTGAACACAGTTACTGTGGTGGCACACGCGAGTTCTTCTCTAGAAGTTCCTTACAGAGTGCTGTCACCTACGCGCAGTGCCAGTGTGTTCAGACTCTCACTGAAGAAAGAAGAGCAATCCAAAGACCAGCTTCCTAAGGCTGCAGCAACCAGGTCCCCGATTCCTTGCAAGACAACCCACCTCACTGCCAACCCAGAACATGGTCAGCCACACTGTCTTTCTTCACTCATCCCTTGCTAATACGAGCAGAACTTTTCAGTGACTGCCATGTCTATAACATTGCCCAGAATGTCACATAATTTTTCATGAGTCCTGGGTGCTAGTCCCAGAAGACTGGGCCGAAGTCAAATGGTGTTGGGCAGCCTACATCAAGTTTTTGTGCTTCTAATCTGTGATCTATAAAAATGAGGGACAAGACTCAGTGGTCACTAACTCAACCAGCTCAAATACTATGGGATTCAGCATCATCAGTGAAGGCCACTCTAAAACCTGTGCTTTGTATACTTTTAAAAACTTTTATTTCTTCACTAAAATTATTCTTTCTTCACCTGAGAGACTAGAACATAGTTCGTTCACACTTCTGCTTTTCTACTGCAGATCCTACTCCACTCTTCAGTCCGAGTTTTGAGATTTTCTTGGTTTAATTCTAACTTAAATCGTGGCTTAAACAAATCTTCCATTTTTTTTCTTTGTATACCAAAAATTCTTCCCATTTCTTCCTGTGAATTCCATGAAGTTCTGTGCCAGCTTCCATGAGCGATCAAAATCAACAACTCTGTTCTTTTTTTCTCTACCTCATAAACAGGCCCTGATAGGAAAATACCATGAGCTGTTTGCTTGGTCTCTGGCTAAGAGCATTTTAAACACATAATGTAGATAACTGTGTGAGGGCCAGCATGGACAAACAGCAGGCTGGGTATGGAAGGTATGTTGCTGAGCACAAAATTCCAACCCTGAAGTACAAGAATCTTATTCTTCACCTTTTAAAATATTTGTCTGTGTTTATACAGTGTCTGTGTGTTTGCAGAGCAGATTCACTGGACGTTTTTCATGGACTCTGAGGGGTTTTGCGTTGGATGGAACTTGAGGAGTCATTTTGGTTCAGCATGCCGATTAGGGCAAGAGCATCATGGAAATGTTCTCAATGCTTGCTCACCTGCTTTCCCACCTTGGAGGCAAAAATCCTTACGTGTCTTTGAGGCCTACCTCAACTATCCATGAACTTTACTTTTGTGGAGGAATTAATTCCCCTGATAGCGCCCAGATCTCACTTCCTGTGACTTCTGCACAGCAATCAAACCCAAGTTCTACTTGTCACTGCATCATAGGAGCCTGCTTCACAGTGCTCAGCATGAGCAAGGGAGCCTACTGAAGCCACCTGGAGTCTGGTCCCAGGGTCAAACCAGTGTCTTTGTGATGGAAGATCACACTAATTTGTACATGAAATTAAATATAATATAATATGCACATAGAGGTTGTGGTATCCCACAGCTATACCATAATATTGCCTGGAGAAATGGGGCACAGGTCATTGGATATAGTTCCTGGTTCTGTCTGTACTTAACCAACTATGTAAATGAATGGGACACAAATTCTCTCTTTTATCCTGATTGTAAAAGTATTAGTGATTCATAACCAAGATCAAACAAATACATGATTTGTGTCACTTTCCGCACTGGGTGAATTAATATTTTGATATTTCAATTCTGATTACAATAGCACACATTCTGACTCTCTCTAGAAAGTGAAAGATGCATCACCCACGGTTTTCCTGACTTTGCACTTCTACTCTTATTTTCAAGTATTTTAAAAGGATCAGTCTTTCAAAACACCCAACGGCTGCAGCAACCCTGGGGATGTTCTTCCTCTCATCCCGCTACTCTTTCCTGGCTGTCTGATACAGACCTCCACACTTGATGCTTTCCCCCAGGGACTGTGCCACACAGTGTCCTGTCTTCATCAGAAGATCATTCCCCAGCATGGCTCACTCCATAATGACCTTCATGCTCTGATCAAAGATTTGCTCACCAGAAGTCCCTGGTGAAGCGCTTGTCTCCTTCTCATTCAGCCATCTCATCTGAACCAAACTAGTGCTCAATGCTATGTCCCCAGTGATGACATGCTGGCTACTGTCACTCAAAATACATGTAAATTTTGCTGAGAATGTGAAATAAAAAGAAAATGGCCTTGTCCTGATACTGGTTTTGTTTTCTGTCCCTTCTTACTTTCCAGTCTAGGAGAAAGCAAGAGAAGTTCATGGCACAGCCTCAAGGAACAAGGGTGTTCTGTCTCCTCTCATCTTTACACTTTGGCTGCGCCAGGCTATGAGAAAAAGTTTCCAATTTAGTCCTATGGATTGTGTGAAAAAGGCTCTGTATGAAGCAAAGAAGGAAACCCACAGTGTGTGGACAGATACTAGCAGCTAGCAGGGTGTAGCACAGGACTGGCTAGGCTCCTCATAAATTATAAATGATTTATGATGTCCTTCTGGGCACAGGGTGACAGCCATGAAGCCTACATTCAAGAGAAGCCAGGGCATATGCCACCAGCTCCTTTCAGTGGATATTTGGCCAGGATTTCCTGTTACTCTGGAAGTATCTGGGAGAGTAAATCGTGTAGTCAACAAGTCTTTTGTGTTTTCACTTGGCAAGGAAAGAGAGTCCTAATTCTCAATTCTAACACCGTTTAATGACTGAACAAAATAGAAGA